AAATTGTATACAAGAAGACAGGAAATGCAGAAAAAAAAACAATTTTAATTATAATGATTAATTTTTTTTATATCTTCATCTATGATTAAACAACAGTTTGGGTAGTGGTGTCTTTGTTTTATTTATTTTTTTTGTAATTATAAAACATCAAAAACTACATGAAAATGGTTAAAACAACAAACAGGTTATTTTTTTTAAGGCACTAGCTACATTTTTTTAGCTATGATAACCCACAAAAAGTAAAAATAAGAAATAACTATTTCCGAGACTAATTGCCGAAAAGCATTTCCAGAAAGGACCCGATTTCATACGGAAATTGCAGGTAATATAATTTTTTATTGCTACCTTAGGGGCTTAGATTCAAACAACTCACTTTTCGTAATAATACATGTAGATATGAGTGAGCAAGATGTCTGATTTGTGGTCGCTGAAAAGTTTATATCCATTTAAGATTTCAACGGTTCCAAGATGCAAGTTTGCAGTTACATAGAAAAAGTTCTTATAAAGAACAGGATATCACTGAACATGCTAAAGAAGGATATATATAGCAGAATGGAACTGTTTAGTGTGCTGTATAGATGTGCATACAGCATGTACAGTATATATGGATCTATAAGCTGTGACAGTTGTCTGAAGTGGTATTACCTGAAATGTGTTAGCCTAAATAATGTTACATACTGACTGTGCTGGAAGTGCCATCAAAATATGTATCTAAACGAATTCTTATTTATGTATAAATGTACTTTCAATTTATCATTATCGACTGTGTGAGACCCTCATGGGTAGTCAAGGTCGTTTAAAACCCCCTTATGTTTTTAATTTATCATTGATATGTTCAATAAATAATTTTCTATCAATATAAATTTGTTCAAATATGTAAAACAAAATATATGGGGCACAACACAAATACAATACAAAATATAAAGATGCTACACACAAAAAAAGACATAATTAGCAAATAATATATGTAAAAATAAGAAATAGTTATTGTTATTTCCTAGACTTATTGCCGAAATGTATTTCTGGACAGGGACCGTATTTTGTATTATAATCCTATGACATATGACTGCACATTCTTAATCAATTTTTATCGTTTTTATACTGATATTTTCATTTTTTTTTGTAATGTGTTTCTTACTAAAATCATGAAAATTGCAGGTAATTGGTTTTTTTTTTTTTATTGTTACCTGCAATTTTAGTGCGAAATCAGCATGAACAGGTCCCTGTCTAGAAATACAGTTCGGCAATTAGTCTCGGAAGTAACAATAATTATTCCTTATTGGTACTTCAGGGGTTAAAAAAATTCATGGTAATTGAGCCAGTGTCTTTTTTTCAATTGGTATAATTTCTGAAGATTTTTTTTAAATGAAAACCAATCAAAACATTATTAATAGAATATCATGAGAAAACTGAAAACAACAAACCAATTTATTATTTTTCGTTCTTAATTACATGTACTGAATTTTTAATGATGTACGAAATGTACATATTTCATTAACCTCTGAAATTGTATGTTTGGCAAACATATGTTCCCCATAACAAGGATTATACAAATCCTTGTCCATACCTCAAAAAAAAAGGAAAGAAAAAGGTAAAAATAATATTACGTCTAGATGCCCATTTAATCAGGTGCCGATTAGACTTTTTCTATATGTGCTGTATCGACCAGGGGCTGATTTGACTTGTACCCGAAAATCGTACATTAGTCATTACAAAAAATGTATGTTGACGTCTAAATATTCTTCTTCATTTTGCTCTCATAAATTATAATTTATATAATTCATTCATATGACATATTTTGACTATAATTTCGTACACATAAATTACTTTCAAATTCCTATGGCAGTTTATTCACTGTAAAACCATGTCTACTCATTAGTCTCCACATTGAACTGTTGAAAAAAAGGAGCAATGACCCATGTTCAGTTAAAATATCTCAATTTTCTTCTCCTGGTTCTGGCGCATAATTGGACACGTACTTGAACAATGGATAATTTCTGGAAACCAGTGTTTACTAAAAGTAAAATTAAAACAAAGACGGACAGAATTGATTATCCGTAATTTATTTGTTTTGATTTAGGCAAGGATTTGTATAGTGAGTATACAAATCCTTGATTTAGGGAGCTACCATTTGATTTTTATTGGGGGGGGGGGGATGAAATTTGGAAAAAAGGCAGGACAGGAGTTTTGAGTCAGGACCGAATAGAGTGAAAGGCAGGACAGAGATTACAACAAAAAAAAATGCAGGACAAAATTTTTCATCCTAGCCTCCCCATAAAAATCAAATGGTAGCTCCCTTATATCAGTTAATTGTCAAAATATGAAAATATGACCAAGAAAATAAAGAATAGAGAATAATGAGGTGTTAAAATATAAAGAATAGAGAATTATGGGTACAAAGTATAAAGAACAGAGAAAAATGGCCTAAAAAATAAAGAATACAGAAATGAAGGACCACCCATCCAGACCTAAGTAGTCCAAACCCTATATTTTTTTGAGATAAAATTATTGAAATATTCTTTATTAAGCTGAGGACAACCCATGCTTTGCAAATTTAAGGGGGCACACGCCCGCCACGCCCCCGCCTGAATCCGCCCCTTCTAAAGTCACTAACCCCCAAGGGTGACTGGGGAATAGAAGTATGGTCACCATTGGTCTTCCTCCGACCGGCAGTAAAACCCGTGCTAAAGTGGGGCGTCCGTTTGGCTGTGCGGGATGTACAAATTTGCAGCCACGTCCGGTCAGAATGGGGACGTTAAATCCGATGCCTCGTGTAAAGAGAATGCCACGCTCTTTGCACGTTAAGAACCCTTGCAACAACTCTTTGAGGGGTCCGTAGGTGACCTGTTGCAAGGCTAAATTTCTGTCCTTATCCAATATACCCTCATTTCCCGTGGCAGTCCAAATTTCTCCGACCATAATCCCTTAATCTATTACAGAACCTACCTATTGTATTTATTGTGAACTTGTTCTTGTCCTGAATATGCATGAAATATTTGCCACTGGACGTTAAGCAACCAACAATCAATCAATCAATCAATCTAAAGTCACTAGGACCCAATACATATATAGCACTACAGATCGAGTCACTGAGGTGCTTGGGTCAAGGATTTGGATTTTTTTTTTTTCATAAATAAATTGTTTGCACTGAATATTAAGTTTTCTATTTTTCTATTACCTTGTTTTTGGGTGAATTCTTATACAATTCCTTTTTTACTATTTTAGTTCCTTACTTTATATTAAAAAAAACAACAACATAATTATGGATAGTAAAATAAGGGATTGCATCAGAGTAGAAATTAACCCAACACAAGGTAGGACAATCATTATAGTGTTAAGGGAGCTACCATTTGATTTTTATGGGGGGCTAGGATGAAATTTGAAAAAAAAAACGCAGGACAGGAGTTTTGAGTAAAAAAAAAAGGCAGGATGACAATTTATGTAAAAAAAAGTCAGGATAAACTAATAAAAAAAAACAGGACCGAATAGACTGAAAAATAAAAAGGCAGGACAGAGATTACAACTTAAAAAAAATGCAGGACAACATTTTTCATCTTATCCCCCCCCCCCCCCCCCCCCTAATAAAAATCAAATGGTAGCTCCCTAAGTATGTTTTATAGAAAATTGAATATTCAGTGCATTAACAATCAAAAATAATATCCAAATCCTGTATTCAAGCGCCTGAACGCAGAGTAATTAAAACAATATATAAAATTGTACTATTTGAGTAGGAGCTGTTAACCCTTTTAATACACCTGAGATCATCCCTTGTTTTTGGTGGTTTTTAATTGTGTTGATTTGTCAACTTTTAGTTTTCTGTGTAGTGTTTTACATTCCATTGCTGGTCTGTTACTCATTATTTTCTGTTGCTTTAAGCGCCAGTTATGTTTCCTTGACATGTGCCCCTTATATAAATCTCCCCTTTTTGTTTTGTAAAGAGATATAAGATGTGGTATGAGTGCCAATGAGAAAACTCTCCATTCAAGTCAAAATTTATAAAAGTAAACCATTATAGGTCAAAGTACGGTCTTCAACACGGAGCCTTGGCTCACACCAAACAGCAACCTATAAAGGGCCCCAAAAATTACAAGTGTAAACCCATTCAAACGGGAAAACCAATGGTCTAATTTATATAAAAAACGAGAAACGAGAAACACTTATGAACCACATCAACAAACGACAACTGCTGAACATCAGTAAAGACATAGATACAATGTAATGAATTGTCAAAGTGGTAAAATAAAAGTTTGTCAAAAATGTTATTTAATTTAATGTTGTCAAACAAAATATTCCATACACCCCTGATTACACCAAGATGTCAATTGATAATTTTGGTGATTTTTATTATTTGTAGATCTTTACGTTCTGGTCATTTTTATCTGCTAATGTTTCTCTCTATCTATAATCAGTAGATAATAGTTTTCTTACTATTTTACAGGATACATATCCGGACTTGCTGATCATTTTTAATCCTTTGGTTTTTCTCTAACTTCTCAAGTTTTTAAGACATCATACCAAAACTGCAGTTTTATCCCTGATCTATTTTTATCAACAGCAGCCATGTTTTTGATGGATCAAATCTCTGTATAGTATACAATTGTTAAACTAAATTTCCTAAGGATCATTCAGGTAAAGTTTGAACACATTTGCCCAAATAGTTTCCAAGGATAAGATTTATAAAAAAATACGACAATGGACAGAGGGACGGACAACTAATGACACCAAGTGTTGAAAAAAGCTCACATGGCTTTAAGGAGGCCAGGTGATCTAAAAACAGACATTTTCATGAAATTTTTAGGTTGAATGGCTTAATTTATGTTAAAAGTAGGTCAGCTAAACAAAACATGCATATATTTCTCATTGTTGAAGGCCTTGTGGTTGCCTATATTTGCTTATATCTGAACTCTGGTGGATAGTTGTCTCATGATCTCATTGGCAATTATACCACATCTCCTTACTTTTATATATAAATTGCAACTGATAATATTAAACAACACATATTATATAAAAAGATAAACACTTATTTCAATTTTATTAAATTGCATTCAGTAATATCACTTAGGCATATGTCCGCAATGTTGAGCAGCAGTTTGCCAAGCATTAATAATTTATAAAATCACTGCAATTTTTTTAAAAGATTGTCTCTATGTAGCTGGAGAGCATGATTCTTATTACAAAATCACATTGTCTCCACCGGGACTTGAACCTGGGACATCATGGACATCTGTGTTACAAGGCAGTGCTCTAACAAACTGAGCTAAAGAAGTACTGCCTTAGCTCAACCGCTTACCACTGATTAAGTATCTACTATTCAAGGGAAGCAATCCTGTCACATCTTATCAAAAAAATCTTTCTAAATTTTAAGTATGATTACCTGAATATTAATGATTATACAACAAAACACAAATATGTGTAACCATTTCTTTTTCATATGAAAGCCACTGTTACCATGGTTACTACTGTATACTACTACTGATAACATATGTCAGTTTTATTGTTTGTATTTCATGCCAAAACCATTTATTGTAAATATGTTTGTACATACAACTATTGTCTATCCTGTTTATTGGACATATATATAATATATGTATGGTACTAAAATTCAGCAAATAATTATTAACAGAGATGACAATAAAAATTTTAATTTTACCTATTTTATGTTCTTTTTATCATTATTATCAATTGTTTTTAGAGATGCGAATCTAGGTTGTTTATTGGACACAATTTTAAAACAAGGCATGCTGACTGAGTAATTTGGTTTCAGCTCTCAAAAGCTTTTAAAACAGTTTGAGAAGCCTGATAATGGATGTGAAATGATCAGATAAATAATGAATTTCAGAAAGTTTATAAAAAACAAAAGAAAAACCAATCCAGGTTTTCCATGTTTTTCTTTACTTTCACAGATGAACGAATTGGTTACCATCCAGTGGCAAATATTACATGCATATATCAGTAAAATAACATGTTGATGTGATATGATTATTAACCCTGCTTTGTACTAAAATGATGTGCTACCCGAGTCAGATTTTTACCGTGCTAGGTTCACAAGGTTCATTTATCAATGTATCCATTTCAAGGAATCAATTTATTCATTGATAAAATGGACATATTGATCTAATTTTGTCCAAGATTCTGGTTAGAGTATAAGTTATTAAATGTTCCAACAAGTGGATTTTCACTACCATAGGTTTCAGAAGTATGTCTTTCTGTATAGTAATTCATGGGAAATCCATGAACAGTGTTCAATTGATGAACATTCTGAACAGGTTCTTCATGAGATGTGTTCAAGTGATGCACGTTCTGTACAGTGTCCCTATGAGAAGTGTTGCTATTGGAAACCAAATTCCCATTAGACCTGCACACAGCACTATAAATGTGATCAGAAAAACGAGTTTCACATGGCATGTATATACTTGAAGGATCTACATCAATTGTTGAAAAATTATGCCGTGGACGAGGATCATTTTCAGTTTGATGAGTTAAAAGATGTTTTTTAAGGGTTCTGTTGTAAAGAAATGACTTGTTACACACAGAACAGGAATATTTCTTATCATTTAAATGGATTCTCATGTGGATCTTGAGCTGTTTCCGGTCTCTGAAACTTTTATTACATTCCAAACAACTAAACGGCCTGGCACCAGTATGCTGCCGTATATGATAATCATATTTTTCTTTGTTTGGTAAAATCTTTTGACAGTAATCACAGGTATAGATTTTATATCCCCTTTCTTTGGCAATTTCTAAATGCTCTAGAACCAAATGTCTTCGGACAGCAGCAACACTCAGCGCTTTAATTCCACAAACATCACATTTCAACCCATCTTCCCGATGTGTGCGTTTATGTTCATAAAGTCTATGCTTTTGTGTGTAAAATTTCCCACATATATCACACATATATGATTTCTTTGGTAGATGAACAGACTGTTGGTGGTTGCGCAATGCGTCCCAGCTGCGGTAAGTCTTTGGACAAGATTTACATTTGTATGGTCTTTCTCCAGTATGAGATCTACGATGTATCTACAAATAAAAACATGTCAGCCATGAATAGTTATTCCTTCATTCTTAGCTAAAAGCAATATTTTTTGGTATCTAAAATGCAAAATGATATATATTATATATACAAAAAATTGTACATGTCTGGGCCTTTTATAGACGACTATACCATTATGTATTTTCTCATTGTTGAAGGCTGTATGGTCACTATGGTGACCTATAATTACTTATATCCACTTCATTTGAATTCTGGTGGATAGTTCATTGGTTGTCTCATTGGCAATCATACCACATCTCCTTATTTTAATATTGAAATTTAATTTAAAGAAAGACAATTGCGATGTATTTATGCAGAATTTATATCCTTCATGTCCTTATGATAGTTCCTTCTTTATAACTATAATACACAGTTATGACAGTAGAAAGTCAATTTAAGTGTAAAACATGTAAAATTTATATATACCGTAAATTGGGTTATTTTGGTTGTAGTTTTTATAAAGTGCTAAAATTAAACACACGAAAATAAAGCAAACACTAAAAATTGAAACGCCAAAATCACATACCGGTACGACAATGTGTAATGGTAATTGTTGGGGAAAATGTTTTATGTTATTATATCTTCCGTATATTTCCTACAATTCTATATACATAGCCAAATCTGCAAATAAATACCTGGTATACTTTTACAACAACACTATATAATTTTTACTTAATTGTCAATTTTCTGAAATTGTTAATAAAACACAATATGAATTTTTATTCACACATGTCATAAATATGCCAAGCTATTCATGCTATTGCTGATTAGACGCCGTTATTGGTAATTAGAATATCAAAACTCCTTGTAATCCTTTATCTTCAATTGATTAACATATGCTGCCAGATGCATAAGGATTAAAATTTAAATCCTTGATCATCAATAGAGTAACATGTACTGCAATAGAGATGATTAAAATTTATTTCATATGATATTTGTAAAAAATAAATAATCTATTTAAAAAGTGATTTTAATGTTTAAGATTTTATTTCATATTTTCTTTCAGTTTTGAACCACAATATACGGAATTATTTGCAATTGCATCCATATCAGATTCCTTCCTTAAATTAACTTTGTCATGTTTCTAGTTTGAGAAATTCAATGATATTTTGTCAATAAATAGGTAAATAAAGGCAAATATGAATGACCTTGCTCACTACTATTGTTCTAAAATTAAACATATCAATTGGACGAAGCACCAAAATTACACACACCAAAAATAAACACACATGCCTTTCGAGAGAAAACCGCCAAAATATCCTGACGCCAAAATTTCCCAATTTACGGTACATGATATTGTAAAGTCATGCAATTTTAGTTTCTTGTGTATAATTTGGAGTTTAGTATGACGTCCATTATCACTGAACTAGTATACATAATTGTTTAGGGGCCAGCTGAAGGATGCCTCCGGGTGCAGAAGTTTCTCGCTGCATTGAAGACCCATTGGTGGCCTTCGGCTGTTGTCTGCTCTATGGTTGGGTTGTTGTCTCTTTGACACATTCCCCATTTCCATTCTCAATTTTACTTCTGTTTTTTTTTTATAAATCATTAGCTGACTTCTTTTAAGTTTCTAGCGATCGTCCAATTATTAAAGATTATTTAACTTCAATCAAGTTTTAAGACTTGAACCTGTTTGAATGTTGTTTATAAATTATTGGGGTTTTTGAGCATTAGTATTAACCAACAAACATGACAAATGTGGCTATCTTACCTCATTCTTAGACTTGGGTGATTTTGATCTGGACTTATGGTACAGACACTTGCAATGCTGATGTTGAAGACCATAATTGACCTTTTTGTATTTTGTCTCATTAAAAATAATAATACCCAATATCTCATCTCAAAACTGGAATTAAGAAAGCCTGATCTTCATAGTGAATATTTTTCCATTTTTCCTACCTATTCAACCAAGTTTTTAGCAATTTTTAGTAGCCTAATAGCCTTTAGCATAGACTTAGTGGCTACAGCTACATACCGGTTAATAATCATTTAAAGAAAGATGGTAGATCTAGAAAAATTCATAGTAGTCTTAAATATACCTTCAAAGTTGTCATATCTCGGCAACACTGACCACAGAATTCACACACATACTCCTTCAATTTACTGTGAACTAGAAAATGTTTCTTTAGACAGGTACTAGTGGCAAACCCTTTACCACATTCTTGACAGCGATGTGGCCTCTTCTCGTCAGGCAGATGTAAAATCATGTGATGTTTAAAAGTCTCTTCATTTTTACAAGTTTTACCACAATGCTGGCATTTAAAGGTTGACTGATTGTTGTGTAACTTTACATGACGTGCAAAAGCAATTCCAAGTTTAAAAACACGACCACAAAATTTACATTTAAAGGATTTTCTAGCAGTCCCACATTGTTGACTGCTTTTACTGGATATGTTTTCTTCTTTACCTCCCTTTAAATCATTTGAAGTGGTTTTATTTTTAGCTTTTTTATCTTCATCCATTATATCTGGATTTTTTAACAATTTCAAAAATAACTCTCTTAAATTTTTTCTTCCGGTACTCCCAGCATTATCATGATTATTTGTTTGATTGTTATCTTTTTCCATCACATCTTCATTACTTGAATCATAAAATTTTCTGATATCATGATTAATTCCGGACTTTTTCTCATTTTCCGAATGTGTCTCTTCATGCTCCTTGAGTTCCAGTTCATCGGGGAAATACCTATTACAAATCAAACATAAATAATAAGCATGGCTATCCTTCATATGTTTTCTCAGTAGCTCTAGGTTTTCAAATTCCTGCTTACACATAAAACAATGTTTTCTTTCCTTATGGGACCTCATGTGAGTCTTGTAATTGTTATTAGTGCCAAATGCACGGTTACATAGTTCACACCAAAATCTAGCAGAAGAATCGGCATGAACCGCCACGTAATGGTTCCTGACGCCATTTTTACTTTTGTATCCGCGTCCACAAATTGTGCACTTAAAAGGGTTTATGTCACTGTGTTTTTCGCTAATATGTGTTTCAATACTCATATCTTTGACATGAATCAGTTCATCACAAATGCTACAAATTTGATATTCCTTGTGGGAACGGATATGATTGACATAGGCAATTTTACTGGACCAGTTCATCTGACAGATTTGACAGGTAATTGAATAACTAGGCCACTGCGCTCCTATTCGATACAAATCAATGTCAGTTGCCATATTTTCTTTACTTTTGTCTGCACTGAATTGTGTATTTCCTTGAGTTAATTCTCTTTCACAGCTGCCTTTTGTTTCTATTCTACTTTTTCCTACTGTTGATGATGTGGTTTTTCTTTGCACTCTTGTTGTTCGATCATTTTTTACAGACTTTGACATTTTTCTTTTCTTAGGGGCAGAAGTATTGAAGGTCTTTTCCTTTGAGCTGAAAGAACAAACATTAAATAATTTAAACATTTAGGTGTTTCAAGAATTAAATGTACGGGGGATGAAAGGTGTCTAAAATTAATTTAAAGTGGGTAAGAATTGGTTCCAAAGAACTTAACATGAAGTAAAATTATTGGATGGGGGTTTAACTTCCCATACAAAAATATAGTAAATGTTTTTTTGACTTGATAAGAACACTTTCCAAAGGAAAGCAGTGAGTTGAGCTAGGGTCAAAAATGCACATTTTAAACATTCAAAAGATTTATAGAAAAAAAATACTACTAAATTAAATTAAAAAACACATTGTGTACTAAAGCTTATATAATAAAGATAACTTGATTTAAGGCCCCAAAAAAGTATATGTGTGTTTCCTGCCTTCTGACCGACTCTAAGTTTGATCACCGACCCTAAAAGATTTTATTGCCTTTCCAAAACATTATTCAAGAAATAGTATTTAGTGTTGTTAGAGTAGACTATGAATCCTATTTCCGCTGGATAATTTAGTCAAACTTGTATTAACAAGTTTGACCAAAATCAAGCAAAAAAGTTGTTTGGACATTGGAAATTACAAATATACCATTGTGCATGCACAAAATACTGGATGTGTTTTGTAAATTGGGATCAAACATGGAGAAAGCAGATTTGTACTGTGACCTATAATGGTTTACTTTTATAAATTTTGACTTGGATGGAGATTTGTCTCATTGGCACTCATACCACATCTTCTTGTATCTATTGTCAATTTGTACAACGAAATATCACACTACCCAGACACATTACTCAAAACTATAAGCAAAACAGTCTTTGCTCTTAAACCTAAATGCTGCATGTAATGTGGAGAAGCTGCAAATACCAATTTTCAAGTACCGGGTATTTGGTTTGATCGGCCAGACTTACAACCAGTTTCATATAAAAATTAGATGAGGTATGATTGCCAATGAGTAAACAATCCAACAAGAACCAAATGACATGGAAGTAAGCAGTTGTAGGGGTTCTTATGGTTTTCAACAATGAGTAAAACCTATACCGTATAGTAAGCTATAAAAGAGGGATGAAAGATACCAGAGGGACAGTCAAACTCATAGATCAAAAACAAACTGACAACGCCATGGCCAAAAATAAAAAGACAAACAGACAAATAATAGTACAGATGACACAACATAGAAAACTAAAGACTAAGCAACACGAACCCCACCAAAAACTGGGGGTAATCTCAGGTGCTCCGGAAGGGTAAGCAGATCCTGCTCCACATGTGGCACCCATCATGTTGCTTATGTTATTACAAATCAGGTAAATAGTCTTATTCGGTGGGTCACATTCGTGAAAAGGGAAGGGTATTGTAGTTACGACATAAGGAACATATCCAATATCATCTGTGAAAAGGTTATTCCATAACGGTCAACCAACTCTTGATGGCGTCTGTAAAATTTACGAAGGGATGAAAACGCCCGATATGACAATATATAAAGCATTTCAAACAAGAAAACCAGAAGCTTAATTTATGTTTTAATCCACACTGCTACAGTTTATTACCTGATAACTATACTATCAACCGTTCTGATTTTTGGTTTTATAGTCTTACTTCTTATTTCTTCTTTTTTACTAATTTCAGAATCTGTAATTACAAAACTTCAAATATCAAAACAAGCAATTTTTTGTATGTTGTTTTTAAGGGGTTTTTTTGTATGCTTTAATGTTTTTTGTTTTTGTGGTTATTTTTGTTATGCTTGGTTTTTTGTTTTTGTGTTGTTTTTTTTTGCTAAGTTAAATTTGTTCAAAATTCTTGCTTTTTTTACTTGACAAATCCTTTGTCTGTACTATCTAGATTTTTGACCTGTCCTTTCAGATACATATAAAGGAGTTCACTTTAAACAATAATTAAATAAATAAATTTCTAGAATCTCACTCAATTCTTAGTGCTAGGGATGCATTTACATGTATTATTATTGTTTTACATATTTTTGTAAAATCTCCCAGTAAAATAAATAAAAAAAATATATGGGGAGATCAAAATAATAAAAAAATGGAGGGGGGGGGGGGGGGGGGGGGCTCTGATAAAGAGCAGGCTTCAGACCACAATTAATTCCCTTTGTTCGTGGTCTAGGAATATAGTTCCCAATTTTTATATGGGGTATTTCTTCCTAAGTATTCTGACTACTGTTTTCTTTGAAATGTTTACTATTTAAGTGGTCCTATCAGTTGCATATATATATATTGAAATAAGTAAAACATGTGAAAAAAAATTTATTGTTGAAAGTGAAAGTAGTGATTTGGCCAAAATGAAAGTAGGGTAGAAATTAGCCTTCGTCATTTATTCAAGATTCAAATCCTACCATTGGCATGTTAATATGGCTCTCAAAAGAAAAAGCACTGATGGATTGTCCTGGGACAAGCATATTTTGTTCAAATAATAATGGTCTATAAGCAGTTAAATTTATTTCATGTTTGAAGCGGTGCAATTTTTTAATTCAATTTAACTTTTACCAAAAAATGCATTGTAACCAATGGGAAGAATAATTGTGGTCTGAGGCCAGCATTGTGACCTTTCAAAAGAAATATACAAATGTGATACCACATTAGTATAGTTTTGTTCATTGCTTTGTTAAATAGATATTATAGAAAAATCATTGGATGAAGTAATAGTACAGTAAAACTCTGCAATGCCTGAAGTTTGTCAACAGCTACCCTGCCGTTTCTTGAAAAAGAATGCATTTCTTATTGTTCAACACTTACATGATATTGTTATTAAAAAAAGGGGCATTGTGTGTAATTCCTATTCACTTTTACAGAATTTTTATTCATTATCTGGATTAATGTGTGCAAGTTCTTTTCAAATTTTGATGATTTTCACATTTGTCAATTTAGAGTTATGGAACTTTGTTTATGGAAAAAATTGAATTTTAGATGACTGAAGTTTGTTTTGACCAACTCTGAATTCTTTGTCATTTGTGAGGTATCAATTTTCGTGTATTTACTGGGTATAGTTGAATGAATACCAAATCTCAAAAAGGCTAAAGGGCATACGATACAGTTACAGGGGAGGTAATGACATTGCTAATGTAAAATGTTATTTTTCGCAACGTCAAACTGACACAGTGTTCTCCCCAAAAATTTTGGATAGCATCACATTTGGCGTAAAAAAATAACCTGTATTTTTTTATCAATGTCATTTGACGCGTGGCGGCGATGCTCTATTTCCTTTCTGTTATATATGTTTATATTGTTCAATTCATAACTGAGAATACAATTAAACTTTAACCATGATAACAGTTGTTTCAGTTTATGTTTTCTATATTCATTTATAGTTACAGAATTATTTTTTTCCTCTTGGGCCAAATAAAAATATATGTGTGGTTCCAGTTACCCTACCTACCCAACTAAATGAATGATTGAATGAATGAATGGTTTATTATAGTACAACCTGTATATATACAATACTAAATATCTAGCCAGACAAAAATGAACTGGTTTTTATATAAAAAGGGAAGAGAAAGTATCATATAGCAATAAAATTCAAATTAAAAAACTTTTTTCTTTATCATGTCTATGAAATTCCTTGTTTCATGGTACTCAATGAATTAGTCCCAGTTGTTTCTTTATATCAAAATGATATTTTTAACAAAGTTAGACATATTGGAAAAAGATGCATTTTTCAGCAGATTTTTATCATTAACTTGAAAACGAGTATGTTCATAGATCTCTCTTTTTTTTTATTGACATCTGGCTTGAATATGTATTATAGTGTGTGATAAGATTTTGTGAGGGAATTCGATGTTTGCTATACCATGGTTCATTTAAACACACTTCATGACAATTCCCCTGAATAAATCAGAATGAAAGTTTTTGCAGTATTTTAAAAAATGATTTTGCTATGTATCCTTGTATGATATGTTAACAAATTGAGGCTTTAAGAAAGTTCATTTTCTGTTTAAAGTCAATAGTTTTGTTGACTTTTCAAGTCCAAACTTTCTATTGCTTTAAATACACTAATGATAGATGGAAAAACAATGTCAATACACACATATAGGTTTCTGAATTTCTAAAAAAATATTTGGATGATGAGTGTTTTGTAGTAATAACAAGAAATTGTATTAAAAAATCTCTCATTTTCTCCCAACCCAATTTGCCCCTAACACTTAGTTTGATATGGACTGGTCAGTGTTATTAAGACAAGGATGGCAACTCTAGCTCCGAAGTCATAAAATCTTTAGGAAATTATAAAACTACTGTGGATTAACAATTATACTGTTATGGTTTGTCTTAAGTTTCTGTATTATAGGGTTATTGCATGAATATTGGGGAATATTGTCCCGAGTAGAATTTTATATTGCACGAGCTTGCGAGTGCAACATATGTTCTACGAGGGACAATATTCCCCAATATTCATGCAATAACCCTTTTATTGTATAGCAATATAATATTTGAAAGTAAAAATTGGTTTAAACTAAGATTTTGTCATTGATGACGTCATTAATTTTGAAGATTTATTGCACTAGTGCAAAATTAGAATTTATTGCACGCTAACTTTTGGTTACTTTCTGTGGGAAATATTATATTGCTATGCAATAATAATATATATTGTACTCAAAGTTTAAGTCGAATTTTAAAAATTCATTTTTTTTTTAAACTATAAAAGCAATGTTCTTCAACTATCTAGAGTCTGTATATGTTACACCAGTCTTGAGAATAATGGGAAACATCAGTGAAGAAAAAAGAAAAATGTCTTAAAAATTAAAGAATATAGAAATGAAGATCCCCATCCAGACCTCATACTTAATAAGTCACAATTTAACTTTGCTAGACGTTCCTAATTTGAATGTTTTTAAAGTATAATTATATTCTCTATATCCGAAAACTGGTTAACTATTTGCACTTCTTTTTACACACTCATGTGTGGTTCAATTGACCATCAAACTATTCACTGGACGAGTTCATGATGTTTTTATGAATGAAACAAAAGGTATGAAAGGTTCAACTTTGCAATTCTTACTTTTTTACGATTTTTTTGTAATACAGTGAATTTTTACAATATTGAAAGACCGTATTCTTCAGATATTTGAGAAACTTTACAGATCAGGTGTTTTCATTCTTTGAAAAATATATTACTTTGAAGAAAAACATTGAAATATATATTATGCACCTCTATGCATGATAAAAAGCTTGTGTGTTTTAACAGAAAATAGCATTTTTCAGCCTCATTAAGCTATTATCAGTCCAATTTAATCCAAATGAATAAAGTCAAATATGACTGATATGCCTATTTTTATACATAATAAAATGCTTTGCTGAGCGCAGCCTGATACGACCGCAGAGGTCGAACCCTGAACAGTTGGGGCAAATTTGGACACAATATTCAAGCTTGATACTGTCTGACTTTGGATTGTGATCAAATGTTTTACATAATATAGGTTTCTGATACAAAATAAATGTGGTCAAAGATCTTATAAATCCATTGTGCAATACTGTGCAATTGAAGATTTCTTCTTGAAACTTTTCAAAAATTCGAAATTTTAAAAATTTTGAAAAAAAATATGAATCCCTTTAAAAAAATTGGGGAAAAAATCCCCCCCCCCCCCCACCCAACTTTTTGAAACCACCCTTGGAGCAATAACCCCAAAACTCAATCCCAGCCTTTCCTTTGTAGTATGGAACCTTGTAGTACAATTTCAGAGATATCCATACACTTACACACAAGTTATTGTCTAGAAACTAGAAAAATACTTGTTTTTGGCCCTTTTTTGGCCCCTAATTCCTACATGTTTAGGGCAATTAACCCCAAACTCAATCCCAGCCTTCCCTTTGTTATATGGAACCTTGTGGTAGAATGTCAGAGAGATCCATATTCTTACACACAAGTTATTGTCTGGAAACTAGAAAAATGTTTGTTTTTGGCCCCTTTTTGGCACTTAATTCCTAAACTGTTGGCCCCATAACCCCTAAAATGAATCCCAACCTTCTACTTGTGGTATTAAACATTGTGGTACAATTTCAGAGCAATTGATATATTATACACAAGTTATTATCCTGAAATTAGAAAAATGCTTGTTTTGGGCCCCTTGTTGGGCCCCCAATTCCTAAACGGTTGGGACCATCATCCCCAAAATCAATCCCAACCTTCCTTTTGTGGTATTAAATCTTCTTCAAAAATTTCATAGAGATCCATGCACTTAAACTAAAGTTATTGTCCGGAAACCAATGTGTCTTCGGACGACGACGACATCATACCATTATACGATCCCCAAAAAATGTTTGCGGTCGTATAAAAAGTCAATTTGATCAATTTAAGGCCAGATTCGTCTACCCCATAAGATTTTGTTAGGCAATATAAGATTATTTGTACCAATTTTTAGGAACAAACCACTGACCAGATTTTTAAAATTACATAAATATGTACAGCAAAAAATGCTGTTTTTTTTCTAAAATCATGATAATTTATTGAAAATGGATAATTTCCAAAAAAATGTTACACAAATTTATAGCATACTTATGCAAAGAAGATATTCCAAATGATTTCAGAAAAATCTGTGCATGTTTATGTTTTGCAACAAAATAGTTAGGTGTGTCTATCCAACACAAATAAAGGAACATAACTAAGGGGTTATCACTTAGTAAATTTTTAAGATGAAATGCCAAAAAGAAGTTTTATCACAACTTTTCTATGTGAAATTTGTAGTATTTTAGCCTCATTGAAAAAGCATCTACGGGTCAAAACATGCCCTTCTTGAATCTAATTCTCTGTGTTGTGTTATATTTTTAATCAATATTTCATAATTTTAGGTGTAATACCACCATTGATTTTCCCCTATTAGTCTTTGTTAAATTTGCACTTTTCAAAAAATTGTGCAGAATTTATCTTTGTTTTAAAAAAAGAAATACTTGGCATGAGTAAATTCTTATCCTGTCCAGTACTATAGAAAAAATTTCACATAACATTTCATTGCATATAAGAAAATAACCATCACTGGAAGTTAACCAATCAAAGTTTCCCCCTTTTTTAACCTGTGTACCAGGGCTTCCAAAATTATTTTTAGCCAGCCGGACATTTTATATATTATCCCGATTTTAATCCCTTAAGACTAAATAAACAAAAGGCAATTATGGTAATCAGTTGCAGAGGTGGCCATCCCAATGATTGACATTAAAAAAAGACGATATTAAACTTTCTTTGATTCAAATTCGTAGTTCTGACGTAAAATGTTAAATTGGCAGTGCATCATTTGAAGTGTGCAACATCAGCGTACTTATATCTCCCTTAGACTCTTTATTTGTGCAAAATAACGTTGTCAAAAACTTTACTTTCGTTTTTAAATCTAATACCGGATGTTATCTTGACAATGGTAAAACATGGACCAGAGACGGAAGTTTCTACGTTATTTCTTCAAGAAAATATTCGAAATAAACGTGAGATAAAGGTATCAATGACAATTTAAGCATTTTTTGAAGAAATTAGGATGCAAAATTAAATTTCACACCTGCGCACACGTGTACTTGTTCAAACAGACATGTCTCTAGTTCAAACAACGTGGTTATGACGATTTTTCATTTTCACCTTTTAAATTTTTTCATCAAATCATATTTGTAAACGTATTTCTGATAATTAAAATCTTTTTGACTAAATTAATTAGATGCAAACTGCTGAAATGTAAGAAAATAACTTTGAACAGACCGATCAATGTCCGGTTCAAAATAGTTTACCTGTCACCTGAACAGGTAAATTTCAGCTGTTCGACAACTAATTAGCCTTGATTAAAATGAGAAGGTATTAAAGTAGGGGTTGTTTTGATAGTACTTAATGATCATGTCACTTTTATGACCGGAAATGTGTGGCTGTTAAAGGCAAAACGTTGGGTCCAAAAGATCGCGAATTATGTTAAAATGACCGTCTCTTAAAGCCTTGAAAACTAAAAAGTGGATGACCGTTTCATGCTTTGCCCAGCCGGACTTTTACCGGACATTATACAAATGTCCGGCATATATGACCGTTTTGGAAGCCTTGCTGTGTACAAGCTTTAGTAACCATGTAACCTCAAGTTTCCAAAATATTCTATAGAAACCCCAAATAAAAAAATAATGGTGCTTTGAAATACCCAAGATATATGTTTATGACACAGAAATGTTTTACTGCAATGAAATGTAGGATCAATTACCTACAATTGTCAAATTCAAGGGAATATTTTTTGTTTACCTATATTTGTATGCAACCGGATGTGACGTACTATGATTTGGTGGTATTACACCTTTATAGTATTTTAGAAAGATTACTATTCCATTGACAAAAACAAAAATTATTTGTAGGGGTAAAACACCTAAATTTTTGGAGTTGGTTGCTTAGTTGGTTGGGGGTGATTTTTTTATCTTTATTGATTTATGTCATTCATTTTTACATAGGTGGGGGGTTTTAAAGTAAGTGGTGTTCGATCCCCCACCCTACCCTTAATGATTTTACTGGTTTAAACCTGGTCACTTTATGTTTGATGGAACAAGTGGGGAGAAATAATGTAGACTCCTTGAATGATTCCAATATTGTAATCCATAAAAAATACTGTTGGTTGTGATGCATAATTCATAATAAAGAAAATTAGACTTTTTCATATTCCATCTTTTCACTGAATTTTTTGTCAGAGGTATCTTCCATAAGTCAAAGTTTCCAATTTATCTTTTTTTTCTTAATTTTCAAATGTTTTATGTTATTAATGTTTCATTGCATGTCTTAGAATTTAGTCTGTTCCATTAAAATGATGAGAGGGTAGGAATTGAAAATTCATTTCACACACAACCCATGGGTAATTTTTGGTTATATCTCCATTTGTTATATGCAAAATAACTTTAATTATGTTGGTAGTGGGGTGATTTTGGATGTCCTTTCCTATCCACCACCTCCCTCATTTAATTAAAAAAGCCCTCACATAAAAACTGAAAATATACATGACAACCCTATTGTATCCGTGAGAGATGCTTATCAAAGAATGAAGATGTGAACATCAATGGGAGACAACTCAAAATAATTAAAGTACTTATCAAGTATATTTACCTGAATATTTACCCAATTTTTGATTCTTTTCCTGTAACTTTGTCTTTGTGTTTTTCATATTTATAGGAGGATCTTTCATAGTTTCCTGAAAAAAATATAACTTTTTACATTAAGAAAAAAAGATATTTGGTTTATACCGTAATGAAACAGCAAACCATCATTTGAAGTTCACATGCTGAAATTTCTCTCCTGAATATAAGAGTTTGATCTAAATTTACATCTTACATGTAGATGCATACTTTTTTTTCAAATGCCAATTTTATGACAAATTTTCCAAATTCTTCATAATGCACAATTGTTTTAAAATTCCACTGTAATGGCATCTTTTTAACTCAATTTTGGTCAATTTTATCAAAATATTTCACAAAATAAGTCAGTAGGTAAAATATTTGTAGTAAATAAATTGCTATTTCTTAATAATATTTTTGTGGAAGGGAAATTAAAATTTTGGGGTCAGAGTTTGACACATATAGGGACTCAATCAGAAACAGATGTACTTTGCCTGATAGATCGAGGTCAAAGTTTACTTACATAATCTGAATAGTCTTCTGTATCCTCATCTGATGACTGGTTTCCTACAACTGACTGATTCACCTTTTCCCAGCTCTTATCTTGAACTTTCACCTCATCTTCATTTTGGATTGAACCAGTTGAAGCATACAAAGACACTGTAAATAAACCTCTGCTAAATTAAATGAAACTAGATATCATTGAGATGGGAGCCATCTCTGTGGGCCCCGCTGTGAATAATGTGTGGTAAAAAATTTGTATCTTTATCATTGGACATGGGGTTGTCAACTGAAACCAAATTTTTTGACCTTGACCTTTGACCCAGGATGTTGTACATAAATTATGACACACACTCTGGTGTTGGTTTATATACATGTCAAGTATAAATTTTGAAATCATAACGGTTCTCAAGATATAGAGCGGACACGATCTTTACCATAGGACATGGGGTTGTCAACTAAAACCAAAGTTTTTGACCTTGACCTTTGACCTAGGAAGTTGTACATACATATTATGACACACCCTCTGGTGTTGGTTAATATACATGTCAAGTATAAACTTTGAAATCATAACGGTTCTCTAGATATAGAGCGGACACAATTTGTTACAGACAGACAGACAGACGGACGGACGGACGGACGGACGGACGGACGGACGGACAGATGGATGGACAGACTGATCACTATAGGGCATCTGCCATTCGGCGGGGCCCTAACAAGATTACTCACTAAGGCCACCCTTAAAAAAATTGTTGTTTGATGTTGCCTACCCATGCCTTGTAGGGTTTGGTTAGGTAGGAAGAGATTTTATTGTTTTGGCCAACAACATAAGTTACATATTTAAGACAAGAAAATGCATTAAAACATTACAGGGAAAAATCTTTTCAAAATAATTTGAAATGATTTGTGTCAATCATAAACTTTTTCAGGTAGGCTGGTTTTTAGGTTGGAAGGTAAACAACATCAAACAATTTCAATTTTATTTTTGGCCTAATATAAATGATATATATTCCCTGCTTTAAGTGTCCAATAAACTGGTAGATGATGAGTTATTGATGTGATAACACATTATATCATGCTTCTCTTTGCCTATATTACCCTACTCAATCACTCTGTAATTCTTGTATCACAGTTTTGAGATGTGAGCAGAACTTATCAGCGACGTCACAATGTCTGAGTGACGCGAAGTTATCAATAATAATAATAATAATAATAAATTCTTTATTTAAAGAGGGTAAACACAGTTAGTTACAATTACTAATCTTCCCTGAGGCCCTCATATACAATACATGTAAAAAATAATAATAAAAGTCAAAAAAGCAAACATACAACATATTAACACAATCGTATAATCATGATAGTTCAATATACATGTATGAATTCACATTGTATGAGGAGACGTCATCAAGCTTCTTTATGTGAGGGGTTAAACTATCTATAACAGAGGGGAAAAAGACAAAAGTTAGCATGATAATCAGATAATCAGGTTTAATGTGTATAGATATCAGATTATTGTAAAATGTCTGCAGCTCAACACAATGTGAAGTTGTTTGCTGATTCTCTACATTCACTTGCAAAAATAAATGCGGAATGTGTCCATAGGACACATATGATGCCCCCGCTTGTTTATTATATAAAGTTATAAAGAGACATAACTGAAAAACGATAATAGTGACGCTACCCAAATCCGTACTGGATCTGAGTTTTGTGGTAATAAGCATTGTGTATAAGTTTCATAGCATTTGGTTGAGGCAAATTAAAGTTAGAGAACGGAAACAAAAAATTCAGCAATTTTTCCATTTGAAAAGGGGCCTAACTCTAGAACGGTTAAAGTGACACCCCCAAAATTCAAACCTGATCTGTATTTTGTGGTAGTAAACATGGTGAATAAGTTTCTTAGCATTTGGTAGAGGCAAACTTAAGTTAGAGAACGGAAACTAAAAATTCAGCAATTTTTCCATTTGTAAAGGGGCATAACTCTAGAACGGTTAATGTGACGCCACCAAAATTCAAACTTGATCTGAATTTTGTGATAATAAGCATTGTGTATAAGTTTCATAACATTTGGTTGAGGCAATCTAAAGTAAGAGAACGGAAACCACGTTTGGGACGTATGGACGGACAGACAGATGTAGTCATCATGTACGTAGAGACGGATAAGGATAAAACTTAATGCCCCCTCCGCATGGGCAGGGGCATAAAAAGGTTAACATTGCAGCTGATATTTTAAATTATAAATGTGTAGAAAACCTTACTCTAAACACACAGTACAGCATGTTCACTTAAAGCTTCATACCAAATTTCAATTGCTTCTGGTATGAAGTGTCATAAAAACATGTGATGAATGTTTTATAGGACAGACATACAGACAAAGGTACCGGTAAACCAGTATACAACCCCTTTTTAGGTGTTGGAGTATAGCTAAAAAAAAATTACAGTAACAATAACAGCAAATATCATTAAATATACTCATTGGAATTCAGAAATCAAGTTACCAGAACAACAATAAATAATAAGGTAGTTAATACGGATTTATTCTATAATTTTGACAATTTTTTTATCCTGAGAACATAGCAGGAGATCTTTTTGTCACAATTTATATTGACAGATTAAAAAAAATTAGACATTTTTGGCCTAAAAAAAAGGATTTCAATTGGAAAATAACACTGAACACAAGCCTTTTTTTTTGCCCTAGCATTATATATAAGTTTACATTTTTTTCGTGCTTCTTTAATAGTCTAAACTCACAACAAAAATCTTTAAACTTCTGTAAACAATCTGGATTCTTGTCAAGAAAGGTATCAACTGGATCTGATGTTTGGCATGTTGTTTTCTCTGTTTGTCTATTTATTGACATGACAACGGTGTCATTTCCATAGTCCTGTAGCTTCTTACACTAGAAATAAAATAATACACTACAAAATTCTGACACATGAGGTGATGATGATGATAGCATTTAACGTCAAGCAGCAAATTAATATGCATATCGGTATTCAGGACTAGAACATGTTAATGTATTTATGAATATTAACCCTGCTTTGTATTACAACAACAACAACAACTCGACCAACACGTTGAGCCAGATTTTTAATGTGCTAGTTAACAAGGTAGCAGTCTGCAGAAAGACATGTCACCTTACCCGGAAACATTATTCTGACTCCGAGCCAACCATTCTTTTCCAGATTTCCTAAACGCTGCATATTTAACAGGAAAGCAGCAAATACCAATTTTAAAGTCTTTGGTGTGATCCAACCAGGGTTCAAACCCACGACCTCCTACACTTGAGGTGAACATGCTACCACGAGACCACCAAGGCAGTTCTGACATACATCTTACATCATTGTGCATAATTATGGAAACTGTCATGTATATTATAATATGGTAATGTTATAAGAAAACATTTCTATATCATGTATATGAAAGCATTTTTGTGCCTGTCCCAAGTGAGGAGCCCCTGGCCTTTGTTAGTCTTGTTTTTTTTAACTTTAGTTCATTTATATACATTCCCCATTTCCAATTTCAATGTTATCCTACTTTGTAGATCAACTTCAAAGTCAGATTTTGAACCTACTCCCACACAAGATTGGCACAAGATTGGTCAGGTTCAGATCTCACACTTTCAATGCAATAGGTCATAATCTTTCATGAGTTACCTCCCATAATTTTTTTAACCAAATACTTTCTTATACAATTCAGATGAGATATCATACAAATGTTTTCTCTTCACATAAGCATTTCAAATTTCCACTTCTTCTTAAGCGCTAAATGTATCCATAAATGATTTTTAGATGTAATTATATTCAGAGTTGTGCATCTACATTTTAGTCCCTAAAACAAGCCATGGGGCCAAGTTCATGCATTAATTGACTTGTTCTTTAAATAGTGTAAATAAATTAAATATGCTAGCCTAGAGGGTAAGATGAACTTTAGCTAAGCTTCTACTCTATAAAGTCTGCTTGACATAGGCCAGTAGAAGACTGTTTATTTCTGTCAGGCCAAATAAAATAGTATGTGTGGCTCCAGTTACATCTAAAAAAAAGTTAGGGTAGGCAGGTAGGTATTTTTTTTAATTTTATGTTGGTTTTTTTTTACATTGAGTCTATGGGAGCAACATTCTGACTTTAACAGTGCTTAATGAAAAATAACAAAAAAAACTTTTGGGTAGGCTATTATTAAGACTAAAAAGTAGGGTAGGTAGGGTAACTGGAACCACACATATATTTTTATTTGGCCTCAGAACACACTGATGCTTCTGAAATAACAATCACCAGATAAAGTTGAAGGAGTTAGCAATTGGAATCTAAAAATATAAAATATTTCAGAACACAGACTTCTAAATGCTAATACAACTGCTTACCTTATATCATTGACTTAACATTAGCGGTTAAACTGATCTTATCATAAACTTAACATGTAAACTATGCAAAACATTCAAAGTAAATATACCATGACAACGGGGGCAGACCGCAGACGCCAAATAATTTCCATGGAAATAAGATGAGCCAATGCTAATGATCCTACATACCAAATATCCTTGACCTATCATTAGTGGTTCCTCTTGAATTGATCTAATCACAAACTCATACATGTAAAGAAAGCAAAATTTTCAAAGTCAAATACCACGAATGAGGGGGCAGGGTTGAAAAATCTCCATGAAAATGAGATTTGCAAATGCTAATACAACTGCACTCCAAATATCATTGACCTATCAATAATTGTTTCCCATAGACTGACCTAATCACAGAATTTTATCTAAAAAATATAATTTATAGCTTAAACCATTTCTGTTTTAATGGTTTAATGTGATTATTATTACCAAACTTCTAGCTTCCCGCCATATATCCTCTTCAATTTCCATTGTCTTCCTGTCTTTTTTAAGTTTTATGAATACGTGCTCTAGGATAGAGATCTGAAATATATAGGGATAACTTCAGTATAAATGTATATGTGTCAGTTTTCTGACAGAACTGTTTGAACAAAAAAGTGTATTAAGTGGCTTATATACAAGACATGATTATGGGGAGATACGTCAATACACTGGCTGTGTTTGGATATACACATAAGGTGGTCTACAGTTACCCATAGGTACCTTTAGGTGAAATCTAGACACTTCAGCACGTAATCAAATCAGCACCTCATAAAACTTCTTTCATGCACGGGTAAGCATGGTAAGTAAAAGCAAATGTTTTGTATTTTTGTCCCTCTCTTCTTTGAGCACTTATGCTTGTAATGCTAAAACAATAAAATAAAGTTTATTTACAGGTATTTGTCATGTTTGTCATGTTTGTTGTCTTTAGAATTGTGGGGATCAACTGATAACCCGGCACTGGCCAAGCTGCAAACACAAGCTATATGTACTTTTGATCTTCATTCAGAAATTATCAAAACTTTCATAAAATATTGCAGGGACCGTACATCAATCATGTCAATAACGGATTACCTTAAAGCATACACAAAATAAATTCTTGTTTAACAGTTATATAAATTGTTAAAGCATTTTAATTATAATATCATTTTCTCTTAAATTTTAATGATACCATGAAAATATAGAGATAAAATACAAGGAAGTGATTTGTCTTGGTCAAGAAATGTGCTGACGCCAAAAATTGTTTGAAAAGGTGCAAAATTATATTTGAAGCAATTGCGCTAGATTACAGCTCTGAAACCCTTTGACCCCTTTGAGTATACCCATGGTTTTGATTGATTGATTAGTGATTTCTTTACTCCTCATCAGCACAAACTGGTACCATAGTCCAAAAAATTAAAACGTCTTGAACATTGTTGAAAGGCTATCTTAATTTTTAGCTGTGACCCCTAATCCTACAGTGCCCCTCATACAACTACACAAAAAGGCTATTATATATATCGTGGCAAGTCCTAGTCCAAGATTACTCTGCCCAGCCCTAGCTTGCCTGGCAAACCAGCCGTTGGATGTCAGAGTAATCTCGGACTATAGGCAAACTAGTCCATGGTTTGCAATATTACTTCTCAATATTAAACCATGGGTAAACGAAAAGGTAATTACCTAAAAGCAACTATAGGCCGCCTTATACGTAACTTTTTTTTTTATCATAATCATGTATATATATATATGGCACTGGCTACGGTTACAATATTGTTACATTGGAGACTAATTGCCGGAATGCAGGGTTGAGTAAGGAACCGATTAATTACGAATGTAACAATAATATTTGGGTCTACGGTTACATTGCGTTATTGCTACATTAAAGCACTGCAATGTACGATGGGAATAGTAATAAATATGTATTAAAATAAAACTTGAAAACTTTTTTTTTATATTTACAATATTGCATACAATATTTTGAATTTTTTTTCACAATCATGACAGTTTCTACAAATCTATTATGTTGTTTTTGGAGCATGTTTTAGTTCGACGCATTTTCGGTGAAACCACTCTAAGCAGCCATCACAAACCAGTGATATGGCAAATTTTGTGCATGCTCTATATTGCATACCGTACAATTCCATTCTGCATTTTCCCTTTATGAAGTTTAAGAAACTTTCAATGTCTGAATGCCATGCTTCAGGTGAAAAATATTTTGTTACTCTTGCGATGTATACATTTTCGTCCAATATTTTTTTTGGAAGCATGTTAGGTTGTTTAAATACAAGTCAATTGTGAAAGCAATTAATGTTGACATTTGCCGACAGATTGAAATTGATGGAAACAGTGTTTTCATTTTCAGAGTCCAGATATTTTGTGATCTTATCAGTCATGACAGTACATGCTCTAATGAACAGTTCATTAAGTGTTCATCAATAGTGATATTGAACTAAACTGTAGTAGTCATGATTTTTAACAACACCAAAACAATCAATACTTATTCGCTGAATAATATTATTATTATATATATTATCTAGTACATATCGAAGAATTAAGCAACATAACTATAGAAGGTTTAAGTTTAATAAATCTATCATACATTGCAGTCTTTAATGTAACAATAACGCAATGTAACCGTAGACCCAAATATTATACACCTTATCGCTATTCCCGCTTGACCCGAGAATCTGTCCCGCTCGAACTTTTGACGTCATACAACAATCACTTTTCCATTGTGGCGTCAGACATTTTCTATTATGACGTCAAAATTTTACGGGAACTTGTGTGATGTCCAGTAATGGCGGACAAATAGCGATAAGGTGTATTGTTACATTCATAGTTAATCGGTTCCTTACCCAACCCTGCATTCCGGCAATTAGTCTCCAATGTAACAATAATTTTTATATTATTGTTACATTTCGTAACCGTAGCCAGTGCCATATATACTTCTAGAGCACTACAACTTTCAATGTCTGAATTTGTCAATGATATTGTAGTGACATCACCAGGGGCGGATTCAGGATTTTGGAAAGGGGGGGCGAAGTATGTAAATTTTTTTTTGACCTTTTTTTGCTAAAAAAACATAAAATAAGTGTAAAATGCACTTTATTAACGGTTCCTGACGTAAGGCATGTATATTTTATAGTTAAAGTGTAAGGGTTGGACATTTTTGATGCCGTATTCTCCCCATTAATTGTCTATTATAAAATGATTGGATGGATCCAAAGCTATGAACTAATATATTTGATGTGGGACTTGACATGGAAAATTCTCGTTTGTTGTATGTTGAGTTAGCATAACATCACGGATTTCTTGTTGTAAACAAGATATACGCCGGGCTATTCAATGAAATTTACAATACGACCGACATGAGTTAAGAAAGACAAACAAACAATTTTTATCCAACTGTTTGGTTGAAATGTTTCACCTAACAAGGGAAGTGAGGGGTTTCAAATCAACCAAAGGCTACAAATGAGTCTGAAATGACAACGAATATATGAATGACGGTCGACAAATGGAGACATAAAGGCCACACCCAGCAGGCAGGTTGCAGTCGGGCTTTGAAAAAGTATTCATTTTATCATTTCGACGAAACAGACTTTCCGGTCAGATATTGGATTTATATGCAAACCCCCGGCCCCAAAAAAATTACGCCTGTTTTTTTATTCATCATGTTCATTTAATGCTAAATAATTCTGTTGGAAATTTTTGTTTCTAATAGCAAAAAAAGTGGACAAGATTATTGTTTTTAATCCAGATACGGCCAGAATTTTTGTTTAAGGCAAAAATCAGGGTCAGAATTTTTTCTCTCAAACATCTTAAGACTGCCCCTTCAAATCAAATGGTCCGTACCTTAGACTTTAAATCTATCTAGAGCTTATTGACTGGGGATCATTATTCAGCTATGTTATTAATAGGCTGGGGCTTGTTGGGTTAAACATGTTTTCGTAGGTAAATAATATTGCTGTGGAACTTTTTTTCATGAAAGTGTAATAGAGTATTACTTTCTGTTCGGTGGAAATGTGAAATAGAAGTCAATAAATACGTTCTTGCACAATCCTTTGTCGCTTTGAAGGTGTCATGCTTGTCATCCTCAGCCTACGCAATGTGTTACTGTAATTTGAATTTCAAAATGACTGAGTGACGTTTTTTCGACGCACTGGTCAACTCCACCGTAGGCTAGCGAATCACATCATCAATAATACATTGTAATATATTACAGTAAATACGAGCGAAACATATCTTTATAAGTAAAGAATTGACGCATAAAAATTAAATACGCGGAAAATGGCAAAGTTCACGAAGTCTAGTCTGATTAATCATTTCACAAACTGAAAAAAAAAAGTGCAAGCAAAGGGGGGGCCTCTACGCCCCCCTCTTGATCCGCCACTGAATGTGATTCACATCAACACAACATCAAAGTTTTTGCATGAGTACTGTTGATTTACTATCTAAAATGTTGAATACATTTAGTTAGCTACTTCATGTGATTTCTAGGGCTTCAGGCACGTCTAATCGTTTGTCTTATTCAGTTATTGTCTGTTCCACAGTAAAAGCAGTTTGATGTTTACGGAAAATTTCCGTTTCGGTTTACACATTTATAATCTGCGGTCTCACTAATTAGCGACAAGAAGCGACAAGAAGCGTCAAGAAGCGACAAGAAGAATAAATTTAGCGACAAGAAGCGACAAGAAAACTTAAAATAAATATATTAAAAAAATATGCATTGACATTTTTATTTTACTATACGGAAAGCAAAGTGATTTTAATTTTTTTTTAAACATATTGATAGATATTGATAAATATAGAAATTTCCCTGTCATAGTATGATATTAATTTTTACATGTTCTTGTATTTTAGAACAATAATATATTTATTTAACACTCTCTTTGTCTAAAATATAATAAACTGACTGCATGCAAAATGCATTATACGTGTATCAGTGTCCAGAAAAGATAATGTTAATAAAACATGAATATTTTATTTGGGTATTGACTTATCAAACGATATGTATACTACAATGGCCCTCACTAACTGAGCGTCGCCTCAAAACCAGACTAATCATGTTCTATAAAGTAATACATGGACTCATCGCAATTCCATCACTAGTCCTTATACCATCAGATACTAGAACAAGAAAATCACATACCCAAACATTTCGGCAAATATCCACCTCTAAAGACAGTTACAAATGGTCATTTTTTCCGCAAACAATCATCCAATGGAACATGTTACCACAAGTTGTAGTAGCATGTCAAACAATTGAAACCTATAGAGATCAGTTGACACCAACTGTTCTCCACAACATAAATTAACTCTATAAATACCAATGTACATATTTTTAATCACTTGTTGTCTTTGTTTCATGTAAATATCACCAAGTATTCTACAAATTTAAAGATAAATTTTTGTTCTATATAATTTTAATCATATACTCCGCGCATGCAACAGTTCGTAATCTTCAATATAAATGAAGCTGTAACTGTATACCAGAAGAAGAAGAGAAGTATGATGTTTATGTATAGTTTAAAGTTGATTGAAGATTAAAGGTAATTAAAGACAATGTTGAGTGTTCAACAGTTGCTCACTATTTACAATTATTGTATAGTATGGCGTGTGTAGTTGTCACGTATAGTCTGACGCGTGTACAAAGTTATAGGTGTTAATTGACTGTTATTGTAGCAATACAATAAGGGACACGCATCCTTTACTCCAACCATGATTATAATTTGTCCATCCTTAAGCGTCATTATGCTTCTATGAAAAGAAGTAATTCTTACAAGACTGAAAATAATCAGCTGGTTCGAAAAAAAATGTCTGGCCATTCTCTTGAAACCATGAATAAAGCAATAGCAGAATACATAGGTACCTATCCTATTAAACAAACAAAATATTGCTGATTATATATGCAAGCTGTCATCAATATTAATTCTTTGAAAGAAATTGTTCAGATCACAGGCAAACCACCAAATGTTATCTTGGCTCATTAATTTCTTCATCTATCAATATAATAAAAAAAAAATGAAAATCTCTTTGTCGCTGTCAATGCATATGTTTTTTAATATATTTATTCTAATAATATTTTTTTAAGTTTTCTTGTCGCTAAATAGTCTTTCTTGTCGCTAAATTTATTCTTCTTGTCGCTTCTTGTCGCTTCTTGACGCTTCTTGTCGCTAATTAGTGAGACGCATAATCTGCATCGACGTCTCTCAGACACTTTAATTAAACAAAATTGGTAAAAACCTCAAAAATTTCTCAAGCCATGGGGGCAACTAAAACATAAGCTATAAGGTATCATGCTATATATTTCTCTTGAATGACGCACAATAGTATATGACAATGAAAAAGAAGAACAAACATTCCACAAAAATTATACCACACACAAAACTAACATCACTAAACGTAAACAAATGAACACCTATTCTTGAATAGCCTTGCCAGACGTCATAATTCGTAGGAAGGCGTCCCAGAAAAAAATTAAAATAGCCTTGCCAGACGTCATAATTAGTTGGACTAAGTCTTGAAAAGCTATGCATCGCAGTAAAGCATCAAAGCAAAAAAAATAAATCAGCCTTTCAAGACGTCATAATTACTTAGATCAGAGACATATAATACAAGAGATTCGCAACTCTAGTAGAGTCTATATAACAGCCAATGAAATGACGTGGCCACCGGAAAGCCGATTAATCCGATGGATTTATGGGTAATAACCCGTATTGTTGTGTAAAAGGTTCTACGCCTCACGATTTTTCTAATGGATAATGCCGATACCTTTCACAGCTAAAGCATGCAAGTATATCTAAAAGTTACAAAAAACTAATTCTAATAATTTGTTATTGATAAAATGTGTTCTAATGATGAGATTAATCAAATACAAACAAAGTTAAAACTCGGCCCATTTTACTTCACCTATTGCCGTAGAAACCATTTGATCTCCCAATTTTTTTCTTAAAACTTGAAAATATGTTAATAAATATATAATTTTATGGGCCAATAGTACTCCCAAATGTTGTTTCGTGAAAATAAGACTATTTTCGTAAAATTTGATCCAACAATGTGGCGATTTTTTCTGATTGATACCCGAAATTTTTTATTAAACTGGCTAAATATTGAAATTGTTCATGGACAAATTTCCTTAAATCAGTCCTTCTTTTTTGTGCACTATGAAATTTATAGCCTGCATTTTGTTAGACATTTTATTCATTTTTCATTCTGTTTATAGCAAAGTTGTTTATTTTCTCCAGAGACATATATTGTATTGTATGTCTCTGTTTTCTCCTATTCTGAAGTCATTGTTTTTTTCTTCTTTTTAGGGTGCCAAGATGAACGAATGCTGTAAATTTACAAAAGGAGTTAAATTTTCCTAGTAAAGGAAACATTCTGCTGGTCGTAATATTATGAATGAGCTTCATATGCATCTGTTGTCGTTTCAGACTACGCTTCTCGTTCAAAACATGAACCTAATTCATTTTTAAATTAAAATCGTATTGAGGACATTTCAATGGTGACTGCAAAAGATATATATATATATATTTGATAATAAAAGATTTTATTAACACCAAGGATTTGTATATGTATACACATAAACAATCTTACTTTTAAATTGCCATCTCTTTACCACAGAATAAAAAACAAAAACCGCTACAAATGATTAAAAGACAAAAACCACTACAAATGATTGTCTCGTGGAAACAAGGTTATAAAATACTTCTTAAATAGTGTCTTCCGTGTTGCTTTGATGTATGACCTGTGTTTTTTTATAGATTTTTTGTTGCTTCGAGGACACACATATCCATCTATGTATGCAGTATTGTCAATTGTTTTTGTTGGTGGGTCTCTCGCTTATGTTTTCGTCCTTTTCACTATCAACAGAGTTCGTTATCAGTTTATTCAACTAGGAGTATATCTAAGTCGTAACTATTAAGATTGTCATCCCACGAAATTAAGATTGTCATCCCACGAAATAAAATCGGAATTTTCCATATTGCGTGCACATGAATGAAGCTTTATTCAAATGAGAAATTAATTGTAATTTTCTTAAATATTAATTCTCAATACACACTTCCAACATGAAGAAACCATAAATTTACCGACAATCATTTAAAAAAACAACTCAATGCAAGCCTATATGATAAAACTGTCAAACAACACTTAGAAATCAAACATTTACCGACAATCCTACAGGAAAAAAAACTCAATGAAAGCCCAATAAATGAGGAATATAAAAATAAATAAAATTTTAATAATTTATAAATATCAAGAATAAAAAACAAAGCCTATCATGATTAACAATTAATTAACAAATAAATTAAGTTTTTTTCCATGTGAATTAATTATACATTTTGTGACTTGTATTTTTGGAAAGAGTGTGGACACCTGTGGTGTGACAACTTCTTGTTTACAAGGTGTCAATTAAAACTCATTATTTATAACATGTTCGTGATTTACCTGGTCATCGAATAATTCAAACCTAATATACATGTCACACTGTGAAATTATGTCTCCGAGACAGGTGTATATTCAATAGAAACCCATTATGTAACTATCAAATAAAATGAACTCTGACACAATTTATCAAGTGTTAATTATTTAATATCAGTATTTTTTTTATACAATATCAAATTATGTCTCTTTTTCAATAATACAAATCTAAAATCAAAATTACATTAAAATAAATAATTATATATGTACTTATGTATGATAAATTTAACACTGAAACAGTTTATGTTATGCTTAAACATTCGTCCTTACTTCGAGTACTTTTAATACTTTTATTAATGACTTTATTACCTAAGGAGATCTCGCGAGGTTTAACTAGTGGCCGCGTGTTATTACGGGATTTCGCCGAGTTGCGAATCTCTTGTATTATATGTCTCTGCTTAGATTAATGAACCCCACCTAGTCCAAATAATAATGGCGTCTTGAAAGGATATTTTTATTTATTCTGCGACGCCTTCCTACATGTCCTACGATTGCTATTATAATTTTTTTTATAATTTTGATTAAATTTAAATTTGATTAAAACAGCCTTTAAAGGCGGTATCAGGTTGTTGCAGCCCCAAACCGATCTGGCCCCAAGTCGATCCTACCCAAGTCGATCCGTCCCACGTTGATCCAGGCCCATGTCGATCATTCCCCATAATAAAATAATGAATAATTTATATTAATTTCGGATGATTTTGGTGACATATTTGAATCGTCATTCCGGCCCCATTTATCCTGATTCAAATATGTCACCAAATCATCTGAAGTTAATATAATGAATTATTTATAAATTATAAATTATTAATTTGAATCAGAATAAATGGAATTTGTAAAAAGTATCAATGCTTAATGACAGCAGGTAAGTGAAGTCAAAGAACAACCCATCCTATCTCCTCTTTTATAGCAAGGATTTGGCAAATTAAACAAAATTTCAGAATTCTCAATTTGAGAAGTTTTTATAACTTTAAACTAAAACATTTTCAGTTTGTATACATCAGATTGGGGATCGGCTTGTACAGTTTTGTATGCAACGATTTGTTATCATTACATCAGTTGTAGGACTTGTTAAAATCACATTCAATTGAAAAAATGTGAATTACTACTATAATATTATAATGCTGATGGTACTAAATTCTGTTATAAATAAATAAATTATAATTAAGCATACCCAATAGTCTTGAAAACTTGTAACACAAATATATCAACATAATTGTTTTATACTGCATAATCATCTGTATTAATTTAAAGTGATTCAAATATTTTATATAAAAAATAATATTATATTTCTATATGAATCTGAATATACATTTTTTTTAAATACCAAGCCATTAGAACAATTTCATGTATCATATAATAGTAAAACAAACTCAAGTTACATTGTAAACAAACTTTAATTTTCTATATTTATCTTATCTATTTATAACTCTGTATTGCTACTTTCACTTTTCATTGTTTCTCTCACCATGACGACGTCAAATTTCTTGCACCACTTTGAGTACTTCAGGGATTAAATTCTGTATAAAAATTGTCCTGATGAAGCCTGCCTTGCAGGCGAAACATGTAGACATAGATAATAAAATTGCAGATCTTTTGAAGTGTTGTTGTCAATTTTAATTATTATTTAAGGATTGCATTCATTTGCATGATTTGACAACCCGGCATACCAAGGTATCCACTTCAGGGACTCTACCAAAACGATTTCACAGGCGTTGGTTCACCACACGGAATTTAATTTTTTTTAAATATTCAATTAAACATGATAAATGTCTCATCTTATGAAATTTTATTTTTAAATATTCGTCAAAGGCTAACTTTTTTACTGCCCACCTTTTATATTATTATAAAATTCATTAACACTGAATTCATATATATCTTTATTTTTATTCCTTATGAATATTGCTATATTGGGGATGGATCGACTTGGGATGGAACGACTTGCGATGGATCGACTTGGGGCAAGATCTACATGAAAGCTTAAAGACATCATAATTGTTTGGACTAAACCCCACCAGAACCAAGTGCTAATACAAATAAGGTGCTATCATCATGTTGGGTACAAGTCAGGAAAAGTGGGGTATTCACTGTTTTCAGGGAACACCCCAGTTTTCAGGTGTTAAAAAAACCCAGTTTACAGGGACTTCCTTTTTCTATTTCAATTTCAATAGAAAAATAAAGTGTATCCTGTATAAATGCTTCTTTTGCATTGACCATTCTGTGATGGGGTTTGGGAAATTGTTTTAATGCCCCCGCCGTAGCGGAAGGGGCATTAAGTTTTACCCTTGTTCGTATGTACGTAACATCCATAAGTCCCAAAATTGGTTTCCGTTCTCTAACTTGAGTTTACATCAACCAAATATTATGAAACTTATACACAATGCTTATTACCACAAAACACACATCAAGTTTGAATTTTGGTGGCATCACTTTAACTGTTCTAGAGTTATGTCCCTTTATGAATGGAAAAATTGCAAAATTTTTAGTTTCCGTTCTCTAACTTAAGTTTGCCTTAACCAAATGTTATGAAACTTATACACAATGATTATTATCACAAAATACAGATCAAGTGTGAATTTATTGGTGGCGTCACTTAAACCGTTCTAGAGTTATGCCCCTTTATAAATGGAAAAATTGCAAAATTTTTAGTTTCCGTTCTCTAACTTAAGTTTGCCTTAACCAAATGTTATGAAACTTATACACAATGTTTATTATCACAAAATACAGATCAAGTGTGAATTTTGGTAGCGTCACTCTAACCGTTCTAGAGTAATGTCCATTTATAAACTGAAAAATTACAAAATGTTTATTTTCCGTTCTCTTACTTAAGTTTGCCTGAACCAAATGTTATGAAACTGATACACAATGCTTATTATCACAAAATACAGATCAAGTTTGAATTTTGGTGGCGTCACTCTAACCGTTCTAGAGTTATGCCCCTTTATAAATGGAAAAATTACAAAATGTTTAGTTTCCGTTCTCTAACTTGTTTTTTTTTCTCTCACTCTGGACAAACATGACAAACACTATTACTTTACTTAAATCAGAAACATGTTATATTTTTAAATTACATACAGGAACAAGAAAGTTTTGTTACTAATGATCTTGGGTTTTACAGAATAGAGAATAATGGACAAAAAATATAAAGAAAAGAGAACAATGGACCAAATGTGGTGCTTAAATATATAGAATTGAGAATAATGGCCAAAAGAGTTTAAAGAATAGAGAAAAATTGCAGAAATGGATATACAATTACAATGTACCCAATCCAGACCCTCCGATATCATATATACCCAAAAGGATTCAAAAAAGAAAAGACAAATTCATCTTACATGTAGGTCAACTTTGCATGAGGGAGTTGGTACTGTAGTTTCTAAATTATTTATTAATTTATCAACATTCAAATGTATATTGATAACAGCTTTATTATATTTATGATTATTATTTTAATCTTTGTAGGAATGATGATTAAATGAACCACAATGTCCTACACAGTTGACCTTGAACAGTTAGAAGATGAAGAAGTATTGTGGAATATTTTAGAGATTTTGGTAAGACATTTATTGATACACAAGACTTTAGAATTATACACAGGTAAATCTGAGGGGTTGAAATTACAAGAAAACAGTAGCTAGCTATATATACAAAATGATATATATATATAGTGATATATTTAATTTACCGGTATGCACAATGTAGGGAAATGAATATTGGCTCTTGTCTCTGAAAATTACCTTTATGTTTATACCATAATATAGCACAAGGTTCCCAGGTCGCATTTTTGAGAAATAACACTCAGTCACAAACTTTCGTTATATTTCCATTTGTCCAATGTCTATCTACTGAAACATGTACATGTATGTTATGTCTTAAATCTATATGAAATAATCTACAAAATGGTGTATAACACATCCATTTCTTTTGTCGGAATCATTAAAGTATATTGGTAGGTTTTTTTCAGAGTACCTATGGAAATAATTATTTTAAAAAGCAGAGAATGTGTGTAGAATGAAAGGATTGCTGATGATTTATATTTATTGTTTATTGGATTTTAAATGCAGGGATATTTTCAGCATGAATTGCTCAGAAACATCAGCATTCACATGAAAATCCCCAACATGACAAAAAGTCATTATTTACGGAATCCTTTTTATATATCTCATTCCTTATGTTTTAGACTTTCAAATGTTTTGGCCTCCAGCATCACTAGATAGACGTTTATTTTTCAAAATGCGCATCTGGTCCAGATAAATTAGTAATGTTAATTATTACTCTACTACATCTTGTCAGTGGTTGTCTTCTATTGACTCATTTTGTTTTTGTTAGGGAGCTACCATTTGATTTTTATGGGGAGCTAGGATAAAATTTGAAAAAAAGGCAGGACAGGAGTTTTGAGTAAAAAAAGAAAGCAGGATGAGCAACTTTGCAAAAAAATAAGGGCAGGATGACAATTTAAGTCAGGATAAACTAATAAAAAAAAAGGCAGGACAGAGATTAACAACTAAAATAAAATGCAGGACAAAATTTTTCATCCTAGCCCCCCCCCCCCCCCATAAAAATCATATGGTAGCTCCCTTATCTGGAAAATTTGGTTTTGATTGCATCTGTTTATTTGATCCTAACTTAAAATTAGGAAGATTTAGAGCTTGACCTACATATATGCTGTATGAGGGTTTGAATGCGGGCTCCTTTATTTCTTTTTTGTTTTATTTTTCAGACCACTTTTCTCTAATCATTATTTATTTTGCCTTTGTTTCTCTATTCTTCATGATTTAAGACCCAATCTTCTCTTTTCTTCTTTTTTGTCTATCATCCTCTTTTTTTTTAGGTCTATTTTTCACTCTTTTTTTAGGCCTATTTTTCTCTCTTTTTTTTTTTTTTGCCTATTTTTCTCTCCCTTTAATCTGCACTTTTTACCAATTGAAGACCACATTTTTACCTCTAGAACTGCTGTAGATATCATTTTAGTTGTTGGAAAGCTGTCTTACAATAAATACATCACTTATCCTTCTTACATAAACAGAAGATGTACATGTGTATCTAAGAAAATCATTCAGTCACCTACAAACAATACCTATTATTCTGTTCTAGAATAAATGAATACTAGTGCAATCACGTAATATTTGTTTTTAATTAGATGATAAATTATTACTGGTATTTTTCAAAGTATAAGATTAAGATTTATATTTTTTCCAGGGTAAAAAGTTAAATCGAAAAGGAAAAGAATGTATATTTTTAGTTTCTGGGAAAAACAACGAAGCAGTAATGAGTTGGACCACAGAACTAGGTGGATATTTTTTATCAACATATCCAAAATGGTCATCAATGTTTCAAGACTTTTGTAATACTGGTAAGTTTAAAAAATATATTTTTCATGCCATGCTCCTTGGGCGGTATGGACTTTGTTCATTGTTGAAGGCCTTACAGTGACATAGAGTAATTAATATTTGTGTCATTTGGTCTCTTGTGGACAGTTATCTCACTGGCAATCATACCACTTTTTATATGACCGCAAAAAATTTTTGCGATCGTATATTGGTATGACGTTGGCGTCGATGTCGTCGGAAGACACATTGGTTTTCACACAATAACTTTAGTTAAAGTGAATGGATCTCTATGAAATTTTACCATAAGGTTCAATACCACAAAAGGAAGGTTGGGATTGATTTTGGAGGTTTTGGTACCAACAGTTGAGGACTTAGGGGCCAAAATAGGGCCAAAATAAGTATTTTTCTAGTTTCCAGACAATAACTTGTGAAACGGAGTATGAATCTCTCTGAAATTATACCACAAATTTCCATACCACAAAGGAATGGTTAGGATTGACTTTGGGGGTTATGGCTCAAACTGTTTAGGAAGTAGGGGCAATTAAGGGAGGAAAACAAGGATTTCCTGGTTAATGGACAATTTAAAAGCAGTGTTAGGGAGGTAATCCAAATACATTTAAAGTTTTTTTTTTAAATTGGATTACCTCCATTACATTGCTTTTAAATTGTATAAAGATGTTGTATTGTCTTGAGGTGATAAGCTGTCAATTAATTTTTAGAAGTTACTATTAAAGGAATATTAATTTTAGCCATGATTATGTATGTCATTTTCTATTTTAAGACTTTTATGATGTATTTAAATTGGTAATTATGACCATATCTTGAGGGAAAGAATTTTTTCTGTTCAGGGTTGGACCTCTGCGGTCGTATCCAGCTGCGCTTAGCAACGCATTTTTTTTTTTTTTATATCCTTGCTCATTTTAACATGGCATTACTTTTGTCAATATCTTTACACTGAATGAAATAGATGTGTAAAATGAAAACAGATAAACTGTAAACCAACTAATTTTCGCAGGATTTTATTTTATTTAATATAAATTGTTGCGAAAATGTAAAACTTTTAACTACATCAAGTAAATTTTAATAGCACCAAATTAAATCGCCGGAAAATGGGCTAATAAGGCTGAACGAGAAAGTATCTGCGAAAACAAATTGGTTTACTGTAATGCCTACCTACCTATGTTAAGCAAAGTAATGAGCATGTTCAAAAAAATAATTTGAATTTAATAGGCAAATTTAGAACTTATGACCCATAACCATTTAACTTCAAAGGGGGTTATGGTTTTTTGTCTGACCGCGAACATATTTTATGTCCCCGCCGTAGCGGAGAGGGCATTAAGTTTTACCTTGTCCGTCTGTACGTACATCCGTCCGTACGTCCCAAAGTTGGTTTCCATTCTCTAACTTAAGTTTGCCTCAACTAAATGTTATGAAACTTATACACAATGCTTATTACCACTAAATACAGATCAAGTTTGAATTTTGGTGGCGTCACTTTTACCGTTCTAGAGTTATGCCCCTTTACAAATGGAAAAATTGCTAAATTTTTCGTTTCCGTTCTCTAACTTAAGTTTGCCTCAACCAAATGTTATGAATCTTATACACAATGCTTATTACCACAATATAATATACAGATCAAGTTTGAATTTTGGTGCCGTCACCTTTACTGTTCTAGAGTTATGCCCTTTACAAATGAAAAAATTGCTGAATTTTTCATTTTTTTTTTCTAAATATCAAGTATTTTTAAGTTTGGAGTTATCTTTCCTTGTCCATGATTATAGTTGAATCAACTACAATCAATGCTTTATACAATGCAATGTTTAATTTTACCTTCCACTGATAAATTTTTACCCTTCATTTCTAAAAATAATTTAAAGTCTTCTTTGAAAATTGGAGTTATCTTTCTTTGTGCATAATGGTAGTTGAATCAACTACAACCAATGCTTTATACAATGCAATATTCAATTTTACTTCCTACTGATAAATTAAAGCAATCTTTACCATTCAGTGCTTACAAGCACTTTGATTACTGTTCTAGAGTTATGCCCATATACAAATGAAAAAATTGCTGAAATTTTCGTTTCCGTTTCTAACTTGAGTTTGTCTTAAATTAATGTAATGAAATGTATATATAATGCTTTTTACCACAAAACTCAGTTTAATTTTTTGTTTCCGTTTTCTAACTTTAGTTTGCCTCAACTACATAATACAGATTAATTACGAAATTTGGTGGCAACACTTTTACCATTCTTGAGTTATGTCCCTTTATAAACATAAAAATTGCTGAACCGTTCTAGAGTTATGGGTATTTATAAATAGAAAAATTGCTGAATTTTTAGTTTCTGTTCTCTACTTAAGTTAGCCTCAACCAAATATTATGAGACTTACACACAATGCTTACTACCACAAAACTCAGATCAAGTTCAAATTTGGGTAGCGTCACTTTTACCGTTCTTCAGTTATATCCCTTTATAACTATATGATATGCAAGCGGGGGCATCATCTGTGTCCACATGAACATGTGGACACTATCCACATTTATTTTAGTTTTGGACGCTATCAATCAAATTTTTTTTCTTCAAAATTAACACTTTAAGGTATGGGGATAATCTGGATTCCGAAAATTTCAGCAGTAACACAAATGTCCATTTTGATCTCCAGCATTGTTAAAATTACAACCGACATTTCAATTTTAATTGTGGCATCCATTTTATATATGCAACCCATGATCTATTGGAATAAGAACATGGCTTTGTTTCCGAAACAAGAGGAGAATGTCATATTAGGATGCAATATATGCATAAAATAATAATAACTTTACATAGATGAGATGTATAATAAAATTCCTTCATTTTGATCATGTTGATAGGCTGACAACAATAATGTGATGTTCGGGGGGTTATAACCACCAGAACCTGCAACCTCCCCCCCCCCCCCCCCCCTTCCCTAGGCCTGGATCCACAACTTCCATGATAACATTACAGCAATGCTTAGAAATACTTTTAAACAAATGAAAAGCTTGATTAACTTGCAATTGCTTTGATTTATAAATAAAATATTCTTTTATAATGGAATGCATTATTTTATATTTTTATCTAAAGTTTTAAAGAGATTATCAAAATTGAGAATGGAAATGAGGAATGTGTCAAAGAGACAACAACCTGACAATAGAGAAGAAAAACAGCCTTAGGCAACCAATGGGTCTTAAGCTTCAAGACTATATATAGATCAAAATGGCAATCAACACTAACAATGACTAACATTCATTAAATAGTGAAACTTTATTTATTTAATTTCCTTTGAAATTTTGTTTTACATTTTTAGGTGAAATGCCCATGATGAAACAGCAAATGTTACCAGGTGAATTGGAGAACTATACAGCTCTGAAAAATGTTGAACAATTTAAAACATTTTCAATAAATAGCTCTCTTAAGAATACATGCAAATGGCTTCAAAGGAAAGACAACTCAATGTTTTTCATTAAAGACATTAAGATAAAAGTAGAAAGGGACATGAACCATGAAGAAATTAAACATTCATATAAAGATGTCAAGATTGAAGACAATTCTCAACATTCAGATGAATACAATGTCGGTATAACAAATTTTAACACTTCCTGCTTGGGCCCCTCTTGTTCAAATGCCTGCAGTGATGATAACATCCACAATTCAAATGAAGTTAGTGGTGAAATGACAGACTGCAACACTTCCTATTCAAATGTCCTAATTGAAGATAACATCCAAGGTTCTCTTGAGGTTGGTGATGAAATGACAAACTTTAACACTGTCTGTTCAAATGTCCTAAATAAAGATAACATCCAAGGTTCTATTGGGGTTGGTGGAGAAATGACAAACTGCAACACTATCTGTTCAAGTTTCTTAAATGAAGATAACATCCAAGGTTCTATTGGGGTTGGTGGAGAAATGACAAACTTCAACACTGTCTGTTCAAATGTCTTAAATGAAGATAACATCCAAGGTTCTATTGGGGTTGGTGGAGAAATGACAAACTGCAACACTATCTGTTCAAGTTTCTTAACTGAAGATAACATTGAATGTGCAAATGAAGTCCCTGGCAGATGGAAGGAACACAACATGTTATATTCAAATGTCCTCAAAGAAAAACTAAAGGACATCATTCATAAAAGAACAAATTTGAATAATTCTGTTGATAACTGTACATTTAGAAATGTAAGCACAAGCAAGGCTGAAACTGACCACATTTATGTTTCGATTGGGAACAATATTGAAACAGTTACAGACCAACAAGATTCAGATAACTCTCAGAATAAAGACAAAAAAAGAAAAAAGGGTTCAGGTGGCTCTAGGAAAAAATACAAAAAAAGAAAAAAGTCTTCACGTGTGTCCTTAAAATGTATCCCAATTTTACCGAAAAAAATTGATGACAATGCTTGTACCGTTCAATATTTTAGGTATGGTGGTATTATACAAAATTCAACAACAAAGGAAGCTTGTACGCCTCTTACTACAGAAGTAAAAAATAAAGCAGACGCTGATAATCGTTTTATGGATAAAACATCAAAACAAAATTTAACAACAAAGGAATCTCTGTTGCCTCTTATGAAAGAAGTAAAAACTAAAGCAGATGTCGGGAATCTTTTAATAGTTGAAACAATGAAGCAAAATTCAACAACAAAGGAAACTGTATTGCCGCTAACGAAAATAATAAAAAATATAACAGAAGCTAGGAATCTTTCAATAGATAAAACATCTAAAAATGACGAAAAATGGAAAATGTCACCAACCACGGAACCTTTATTACCTTTTTCAACTGTAGTCTTAACTAAAATAGATTGCAGCAAGTTCCCAACAAAAGAAGAACGAACAAAGAATTTTGTTAAAGAAAACGTGATGATTCATGTCCCTCCCGAAATCTTAGCAGATCAAGTTGTTTCTGATTCATTTAGAGAATTAATATACCAGGACACAAAGGTGAAAGATAATAGTATCGAACACAGTTACAGCAGGTTGAGTCCAGATTTAAGAAATTGTGCACCTATTAAATATTCTTGTAAACTGTGCACAAAGAAGTTTGATACATTACAGAGCTACTATAACCATACAAATTCACATACAGTCTGTAATCTGTCGTGTGGTAGTTGTATTAATGTGTTACCATTAGAAAATCAGAAACTAGAGGATTTCGTAAGCCTTGAGTGTTTTAAATGTGGTAGAAAGTGTGACCATGTGTCATTAAATTCTTGTTTTCTGTGTGAAAAGAAGGCTGAAACAAAAGAGGCTTTGAGAGAACATTTAAAAAAAGTACATTGCATGTACGTATGTTCTGAATGTTCTAGGTATTTTATAGACCGCACATTAGCAGAGAAGCTTAATGAAACTTTTTGTAATCTTGCTTCATCTTATTCTACATCCTCTCCTCACAAAGATGCATCATCTAATGCTACTTCCTGTCTTGATATTCATGATATTAGTGCATCATCTACTGGTAATTCTGCTTCCTGTTTTGATGTTAGTGAATCTTCATTACAAGAGGACATGAGTTGTTCACCGGTGAAAGAAAAAGCCGACGATTTTGCTGATAACCATGATAACAAGGGAAATGATCATGAAGATAAACCATATCTTAAGCTTGATTTTGAATCATTGCCTAATGCAACAGAAAAGGGTTCTGGAAAAAATGAAAACGAAAATGGATTTCAATTAAATCAGGATCCGGAAGAAGAAAAAAGATTACTAGTCATTTCTGAAAAAGACACTGCTCATATGCATAATCAGTCTAAAATATGCAAATTTTGTAGCATGAAATTTTCAAACACATTTTCTTACCACCAGCACCTAACAAGTTTTCACCGATCCAAGTTCAACACTAAATGTATACATTGTGATGTCATCTTTAGTTCTAGTAGGTCTTTGAGCCAGCACATGAGCATACATATACCCAGTAATGAAATGCCTTACAGATGTGATGTCTGCGGAAAAGGTCTCTTTTCAGAGAGGTCTCTAAAACAACATAATTGTGCACATAAAGTTAAAAATAGACCAGAGTTTATGTGTGAAATTTGTGGAAAGAGTTATCATCATAAGCAAACGTTAGATGTATGTATTATTAATGATAGGAGGAAGAATTACGTGGTATGATTCCCAATGAGACAACTCTCCACTAGAGATTAAATGACATGAAAGTCAGTCCAGGGTACTACTTGTTCAAGTAATCTTTATTTACTTGAAGAAGTAATCAATAATATACTTATAAAAAGTAAATTTTGTTATGTTCATTAAATTTTCTTAATATTTTGAATAATCTCCCCTTAATTTTCTAAAAAATCTACTTGTTTATGTGAAAGTAATTTTTTGTTACAATCCCTAAAATTCTCAAGTTTTTGTGATGTAAACAGTCATGACAGTCAAGGGTATAACTTATATTATTATTAGAAAAAAATAACATACATGTCATTATTGTGGGCTAAAATATAAAGAAACTGTGATAACATATGTATGTTACATGTTTCAAAGTGGCAATATACATCCTCTGTTTTGTTGAAATGTCTACAAGTACTATTGACATTTTTATTGTCTTTATGTGTACTAATCTTTAGTAAGATATAATAGTTCATAGTTTGGCATTCATGCATAGTAAACCTATGTTATTACAGAAAAAATATGCCCGTAATAACTAAAGGGTGTTATTTCAGCTTCTCTACACAACTTCAAAGCCTTTGCTCAGACATATATCATGCTTAATCACAATGTATTTTAATTTATTGTAAGAAATAATGATCAGAGCATGTAATGAGGTTCTGTGCAAGCTTCCAAGTAATTACCAAGTGTCTCATATATATTTACATGTAATAAGTTACATGCCTGTAATAACTATAGCCTTGTTATTACAGCTAAGTTTAATTGCTTTAAATCCTTGTCTCATTGATCTACCGTGGTTGATTAAAAAAAGTATTAATATAATTTGAAAATTAGTTATCAAGGCTATGTATTAAGTTACTGCGCAAAGTTTCTAGAATTCCCAAGTTCCCACCAAAAATAAAAATATTTATGATTATTTAACAAATAATAAACATATGTTACTACAGATGAAGAAAATTCTAGAAACTTGAGTAGACAACTAATGAAATTATCTGTAATAACAACATGTATGTTATTTTCTCTAATAACTTATTTAAGTTATACCCTTGACTGGTAAAAACATGCCTTTAAGAATTTTTCTCAGGTTCGTTCGTAATTTTTTATTAGAGATCAATGTTTCATCTCATTAATTCAACAAAGAAACTAATTGCACAAAGATCTTAAGTAATTGCGCAAGGCTTTCAAAAATTGCCACTTGCGGGGCTTGTAAACGAGCAATGTTTTGAAGATATCAGACAAATGAGATGTTCATTGTCCATGAAATTACACTTACATGAGGGTTGTAATGGAGGTAACTACATGACGAATAACGGTAAAAATTCATGCCAAATGACGTTAACAGTAATTGTTGGTGTATGACAATATATGAACCAAACTCAAGTCTTGTTTAAGGAAAAGACTTTTTAACTTCAAGGGAACAGGGCTATGGTATTTTCCTTAAAAAAAATTATTCTGATCCCCAATTGGATGGGAAAAAAATATTGTGGTCAAGCAGATGACATAAAAAAAACACTTCTGAATACAGATTTTCCCCATACCATGCCATACCTTAAAATGTTTAATTTTTAAAAATATAGTTTGATTGATTATAGCGTTGAAATTTTTTTTTTTAAAGTTTGCACTTTAGGCAAAAAAAAATTCTTAATCTGACTTAAAAACCATACCCCCCTCCACCTTTTTGAGGTTAAACGATTGCTCCCTACATGAACTGAAGTCTTGTTTTAGTTTGTTGTTTTTCTTACAGGTCCATAAGAAGTATTACCATACTAACGGCAGCGTTGGAACCTACAAATGTGGTAATTGTAGGACGTTATTTTATTCCCGGTTAAAGTTGAATATTCATCAGTCTGCATGTAAACCTCATGAACTATGTGATGTGTTTCAGCAAACATGCAGAGCATGTGGACAATATTTTAAAGAACAGAGTGCATTAAATTTGCACATTAAAAAAGCACATCCTTTTCTTTGCTTCTTTTGTGGGAAAAATTTTAGATTTTGTGTTTCATTTGAAAACCATATGAAAAGACACACAAGCGATCAACAGTTTCCATGTAAACTGTGTTCGGCAAAATATTATGAAGAGAATCTGCTTGATATACATATGAAAAAGACTCATGGACATAAGGGGCAAGCTTCGTCTAATCACGGCACAACTGGTGACAGTGATGACTTTCAAATAGCAGGATATCACCAGGGTTGTAAAATTCTAAAAGTGTCTTAATAAAATGTATGAAATATTTGTTATTATGGTTACAAAAAAGACTTTAATTTATCATGTTTATTAAAATCTTTGAAGAAGCATTTTGATGGTCTTTAAATTGATGAAGGGCCTAGTGATCTTTTCCCATCACTTGGCATCAGTTGTCTATCGTCATTGTCCGTTTACTTTTACAAAGATCATCTCCTCTGAAACTAGTGAGCAAATTTAACTAAACTTGACCACAATCATCATTAGGGTATCTAGTCAAAAATATATATATATGATGACCCCACTACCAACCAAGATGGCTTGCATGGCTAAAAATAGAACATAGGGATAAAATGTTAGTTTTGTCTATTATTTTGAAAACAACTGTGAATAAACATGATAAAGAAATTTTGATAGGCATAGAAATGTTCAGAATGTTATGCTTTGCCTATTATCGTTATACATTAATACAGTCAGACAATTTCTTATTGGAAATATATATTGCACTAAAATGCTGAATTTTACTACTTTTTAGCTCACCGTTCCGAAGGAACTGTGAGCTTTAGCCATCACTTGGCGTCCGTCGTTGTCCGTCGTCGTCCATCTGGTGTAAACTATTTCAAACATCTTCTCCTCTGAAACTACTGAATCAATTCCAACCAAACTTAAGCTGAATGATCCTTAGGGTATCTAGACAAAAGTTGGTGTTTTATTTTCTGTTTCGTCAAAAAACATGGCCACCATGGCTAAAAATAGAACATAGGGGTAATATGCAGTTTTTGGCTTATATCTCAAAAACCAAAGCATTTAAAGCAAATCTGACATGGGGTTAAAGTGTTCATTAGGTGAAGTTCTATCAGCCCTGAAATTTTCAGATGAATCTACTAACCCATTGTTGGGTTGCTGCCACTAAATTTGTAATTTTAAGGAAATTATGCAGTTTTGGTTATTATCTTAAATATTATTAATGATAAAGATAAACTGTAAACAGCAAAAATGTTCAGTAAAGTAAGAACTACAAATAAGTTGATATGACCAAAATTGCCAATTGACCCACTGAGACCCTTTAAAGACAATTTTTCACAATTTGTTCATCTAGTTAGCTTACTTTAAAAAATCTTCCCCTTGAAACTGCGGAGTCAATTTCAGCCAAACTTAGGCTGAATGAGTTTCAGAGTATCTAGTATAAATTTCGTATTCTATTTCCTTGTACGTCAAGAAACACTATGGCTAAAATGGAACATAGGGGTAAAATGCTTTTTTTTGCTTTTGAAGAAAATATGACAGATACAAAGAACAATTAAATGTAATTTTTAAGCCACTCATTATATATATATTGAAAAGCAAAAATAATCATTGATGAAAGATTTAATCAAATAATTACAGGTGAGTGATGCAGGCTCTTGAGAGCCTCTTGTTTCATTTTGACAATTATCTAGAACACTATATGTAATAGATAAGAGAAACTTTATCCTGCAAAACTGATGAGCAATAGTCAAGACCAGATCTTCAAGTAGGTCACTTATAGTGGAAATTGTCAATCGACTCCCTATTAGAGTTATTGTCCTTTAATGACAAATTTTGTCTTTTTTTTTGCGTTTTTGCTTAAAACCTTTGAAACCACCAAAGATATATAGAATTTTTTAAACAGCAAAAGTGATCAGTTGGACAAGATCTACATATAAGCCTAATAGCCAAATTCTTCAGTCCACTGGTTATTAAATAAAATTGAGAATGGAAATGGGGAATGTGTCAAAGAGACAACAACCCGACCAAAGAGCAGATAACAGCCGAAGGCCACCAATGGGTCTTCAATGCAGCGAGAAAATCCCGCACCCGGAGGCGTGCTTCAGCTGGCCCCTAAACAAAAATGTATACTAGTTCAGTGATAATGGACGTCATACTAAACTCCGAAATATATAAAAGAAACTAAATTAAAAATCATACAAGACTAACAAAGGCCAGAGGCTCCTGACTTGGGACAGGCGCAAAAATGTGGCAGGGTTAACATGTTTTTTGAGATCTCAACCCTCCCCCTATACCCTTTAGCCAATGTAGAAAAAACAAACACACCACAATACGCACAGTAACACTCTGTTTAAAAGAAGTCCGAGTCTGATGTCAGAATAGGTAACAAAAGAAACTAAACAAAATGACAATGATACATAAATTAACAAAGGACTACTAGCAGTTACTGACATGCCAGCTCCAGACCTCAATTAAACTGATTGAAAGATTATGTCTTCATCATATGAATTAAAAAGAATATCAAGCACAATCTCTCCCGTTAGGGGTTTAGTATAATACCATCATAAAATATATGAGAAGAACATAACCCGTATCATGCCAACAACTGGTTTTAGAATAAATATGTTAATTTCTGATGCAAAGACCCTATAAGTGAATCAATATTAAGGCCAAAATATGCAATCTTTAATGACCTGACAACAGTATCGTAACTATATCCCTTCTTAATAAGTCTGTTTAAAGGTTTTGTTAGCTTTTGGTGCTTTGTAAAGAATATTACCATAAAAAATTGGATGTGAAATACCTGAAAGTATAAGATGTCTGCATGTTGAATTATATTTACGAATGATGTCCTTGTATCGAAGATAAAATTAAGTAAATGTTTTGACTAGTTTGTGATATCGAAAACCCTGGTAGTTAATATTGCTTTTTGATGATGTTTTTGTTTATTATTATATTGGAAACTGTAAAAGAGAGATAGAAACTTTCAATACATAAATGATTAGCAAGATAAGATCTACAATCAGGTCAAATTCTGCCAAAAAGTCTGTAGATAGATGTGATAGCCATTCAATTATTATTTTTTTGTCTCGCCTGCAACAAAAGTCGCAGTAAGAGAGACATACATGCAGGTATAACTATAGGGCAGCGGTGGCGGCGTAAACTATTTGTATAAAGCTTTATATTTCAGAAGGTAGAAGATCTGGATGCTTCAAATCTTGTATGCAGATACCTTATCTTACAAAGTTTCCATCAATCATATGTTCATTGTCCTTGACCTCATTTTCATGGTTCAGTGGTTATTGTTAAGTTTTTGTGTTTTGGTCTGATTTTCTTATACTACATGCATTAGGTCGACTATATTTGGTGTATGGAATGTTTGTAAGGTGTACATGTCCAACTGGCAGGTGTCATCTGACCTTGACCTCATTTCATGGTTCAGTTGAGTTTCGGTCTTTTTTCTAACACTATATGCAATAGGTCAACTATATTTGGTGTATGGAAATATTTTAGGATGTACATGTCAGTCTCTCATGTTTTATTTGACCTTGACCTCATTTTCACGGTTCATTGCTTAGTGTTAAGTTTTTGTGTTAAGGTCTGTTTTTCTTAAACTATAAGCAATAGGTCAAGTATATTTGTTGTATGGGAGGATTGTAAGCTGTACATGCCTGGCATGGTGCATCTGACAGTGACCTCATTTTAATGGTTCGTACGTCAATGTTCAGTTTTCTTGGTTAAGTCTGTTTCTTAGAAACTATAATCAATACGTATGTCAACTATATTTAGTGAATTGAATGATTGTAAGGTGTACATGTATTTCTCGTTTGGTTTATATGACATTGACCTAATTTTCTTGGATCATGTTAAGCTTATGTAATAGTTGTAGTAAAGCTTTCTATTTAGGAATATCAACATAATATCAATGGCTAGTTAAAAAGGGGAGACATTTCAGCGTGTGCACTTCTGTTTTGTTTTGGTTTGTTTTTCAAATACTAATAGAAATAGGTCAGCTATATTTGGTATATGGAATAATTGTGAGGTTCACATGTCTGTCTGGCAGGTATCATCTAACCTTTATCCCATTTTAATGGTTCATTGGTCAATGTTAAGTTTTTTGTGTTTTGGTCTGTATTTCAATTATCATACGTAATAGGTCAACTATATTTGGTGTAAAAAAAATTGTAAGGTGAATATGTCTGTTTGACACAATTTGTCTGTCCTTGAATCAGGAGCCTGTTGTTTAGTGGTTGAGGTTTGTTGGTGTGGTTTTTCAAGTGGTTCTCGTTTTTATACGACCGCAAAAATTGAAAATTTTTTGGTCGTATATTGGTATGACGTTGGCGTCGTCGTCGTCGGCGTCGTCTGGCGTCGTCCGGCGTCGTCCGAAGACACATTGGTTTTCGCACTCTAACTTTAGTTTAAGTGAATGGATCTCCATGAAATTTTACCATAAGGTTCAATACCACGAAAGGAAGGTTGGGATTGATTTTGGGGGTTATGGTACCAACAGTTAAGGAATTAGGGGCCAAAAAGGGGCCAAAAATAAGCATTTTTGTAACTTCCAGACAATAACTTGTGTGTAAGTGTATGGATCTCTCTGACATTGTACCACAAGGTTCCATATCACAAAGGGAAGGCTGTAATTGATTTTGGGGGTAATTGCCTCAAAATTTTAGGAATTAGGGGCCAAAAAAGGGGCAAAAAACAAGCATTTTTCTAGTTTCATGACAATAACTTGTGTGTAAGTGTATGGATATTTCTGAAATTGTACTACAAGGTTCCATATCACAAAGGGAAAGCTGGAATTGAGTTT